GGTAGAAAGTTCAGAAAACTGTCCAGCTTTGGGGGCAGGTCAGGGAGGTAATGTTTGAGCTGGGTCTGGAAAGAGAAACTGGAATCAGCTTGACCCCAGACAGGTTCTAGAGAAGGGGCTAGGGCCTAGTGCTAAGAGAGACTGAGCAGAACAAATTACTAGAAAAGAAGGGGTGGGTGCATTGGCTGGGGTCAGCAGGTGAGGAAGAACCAGAAGGGTCTCAAAGCAAGAGAAGGGCACCCGGAAACTGTGGATACTCAAGAGGCAGAGTGACATGGCTCTTTTGTAGGTGGTTCTCGACTGCAGTGTGGGGAATGGGGCGACCTAGCTGAGACCAGTTCAGGGCTGGTGCAAGCTGGAAAGGATTGGGGCAGTGGGATGAGCTAGAGGTGGCCCCGACAGATGAATGTGAGAGCTGTGCGGGCTGGAGAAGAAACAGGACTGGGTGTATTACAACGATGATCACACTGACCCAGGCACACCACGCTGTGGCTTGAACAGCAGCGCTGATTTCAGATGATGTAGGTAGGAATCTTCTTCCCACCCTTTTTATTTGGAAAAATTTTGAACCGGGAAAGAGTTGCAAAATCGTTTCCATGAATATACATACATACGACCTTCACCCAGATTTAGTAATTGTTACATTTTGCCTTTCTCTCCTTGTGTGTGTGTGTGTGCATGTGTGCATGTGTGTGTGTGTGTGTGTCTGTGTAGCTTCTTTATCTCTGAAGTCATGCCACATCTGTGTAAGTCAACATTCATAAAGAGATTCTCATATAGGTTCCTCCCTGGTGTCACAAGGGGTCAAGTCTCAGCGCTATGAAGCGTCTGCAGCCCCTGCAGCACAAGTTCGATCCCCGGCCAGGGAGCAACCCACATGGCACAGCAGACCTCTCCTGTCTCACCCGCTGCTCCCCTCAGCAGTGTGCTTCAGTGGATCCTCCTGTTCTGCTCTGGACTCTGTCTCTGGTGAATCATCTCACCGCCTCCCACCCCCACACCTCTGGCTTGTACCTCAGTTTTTGTGTGAATAAATAAACCTTTAAAAAAAAGACTCTCCTATAAAACCACACTACCATTATTTTATGGAAAAAAATTAACATTGATCTAATATAATCTAAAATGAAGTCCAGGTATGTATTTCACCAATTTTCCCAATGTTTTTTAAAGTGGCTACTTTTTAAAAATAATCCATATACATTATACACACCCACCCACACATATCTCCAATTAAGGATTGTGCATTGCATTTAGTTATCTTGTCTGACATCGGTCTCTTTTTTGGGGTCAATATTAGAAAAGATAGTTTATTTAAAAAGAGATAATATACTAAATCTAGTGTAATTGGTTCTCCTTTTTTCTGTATATTCTTTTCTTAACTTTTTTGAAATAATTTCGAATTTACAGAAAAGTAGCAAAATGGTAGTATTTCTGTTTCACCCAGAGTCACTATTTATTTATACTTTGTCATATTTACCTTATCATTCTTGTGTCAAAAAATATATTTATCTATTAGTACTTTTCTCAGAACCCTTTGAAAGCAAGTTAGCTCTGTTAGTCCTAAGTACTTCTAGGTTACTGTTTTACATTAACACAGTACCGGTATCCACATCAGGAGATTAACATTAACAGGATCCCTTATATCTCCAGTTATCCCAAGTATGTCATTTATAGTTGTTTTACTAAGGAAAAAGGGAACCAGCCCAAAAATCTTGGTACTCTCACCCTTAGGTTAACTGCGAAGAATCTTATTGTGGCAGCACTGCTGAGCTCTGTCAATAGATCTGCTCTTTTTTTTTTTTTTTTAATAGAAGCATGTTTTTATTTATTTATTTGTTTGTTTGTTTGTTTTGTTTTTATACATGCACTGGGTACAGTCAGAAAGCGGGGAGCAGAGCAGGCAGAAGGACCGAAGCACACTGCTGAGGGGAGCAGCGGGCAGCAGGAGAGGTCTGCGCGCCATGTGGGATTCTCCTCCGGTGGCCGGGGAGCCGCCGGGGAGCCGCCGGGGAGCCGCCGGGGAGCCGCCGGGGAGCCGCCGGGGAGCCGCCGGGGAGCCGCCGGGGAGCCGCCGGGGAGCGAACGGCGCCGCAGAGGCCGCCGGCAGCTTCGCAACCCAGCGCTCAACCGCTGCGCCACCGGGGAGGCCCCAATAGATCTGCTCTTTAAAAATCTTTGTCACTCTGGGTAATTAAGTATTTTTTTAAAAGATTTATTTTTTATTTATACAAGTGCTGGGGTACAGGCCAGATGCGCGGGAGAGTGAGAGGACTCACCAGAGACAGAGTGGGGAACAGAACAGGCAGACTGACTGAAGTACACTGCTGAGGGGAGCAGCGGGCAAGACAGGAGAGGTCTGCTGCGCCATGTGGGTAGCTCCCTGGCCGGCCAGGAATCGAACCTGGGCTGCAGAGGCTGCGGATAGCTTCACAGCACTACGCTCAACCTGCTGCACCACTGGGGAGCCCTGGGTAATTAAGTATTTTATTAAAATCCTACATTATTGCAAACTAAATTTGCTGAGGCTATAAAAATAGTACACTAAGCTGGACCCTAAGTCTGCAGAAAGATAATCTATTCTAGTAGTCTGCGTCATTAGCCAGTCTTGCCCTGACATCAGGTGTCAGCTCCAGAGACAGGACACGGACCTCGGATCCCTTTCCCCACACTTTTGGGCACGGCCTTCAAGGCTGCCAGTGACACCGAGAAGACCAGTCAGGCTAAAAGAAAGGGAGAAAGATAAGAGAAGGGCCCAGCGCATGGCGGCTGCCATTGCTAGCACTGGCCTCCTCAAACTCACCAGAGGCCCATGCACCCCCAGGGTGTTCAGGACCCCAACCTCTTGATTGATGAGGCGCCTGCTGCCTTCCACTGTCAACAGCCAGGACACCTCAGCTGAGGTGTCTAAAGAAGCTGTTGCCAGGGCCGTGCCCTCTGTAGCATCGCACAGGGCACTAGAGGGGGCCAGCCAAATCCACAGGCCAGATGGGAGAACAAACTGGACTTCAGCTGCCTCTGGCCAAGAAGAACCAGGTTGAAAAAGGAGGACTTTCCTTTTTTTTTTTTAAGATTTATTTATGCATACAAGAACTGGGGTACACGCCAGAGGTGTAGGGGGTGAGAGGATTCACCAGAGACAGAGTGGGGAGCAGAACAGGTGGATCTACTGAAATCCACTGTTGAGGGGAGCAGCAGGTAAGACAGGAGAGGTCTGCTGCGCCATGTGGGTTGTTCCCTGGCCAGCTGGGGATCGGACTCATGCCGAAGTGGCTGGCAATAGCTTGCTAGCACTGAGACTTTAACCCCTGCGCACCAGGGAGGTCCACGATGCCCATTTTCAGCGGGAAGTAGTTACTGATCAGACCAACACCCTTTGTCCTGACAGCAGTTAGGGGTTCCATCTGTAAAGGGGGGGGGCTGAGTCCCAGTGCAAGTTAGGGGTAAGTAGGCAGCTTCAGGGACAGTGCAGGCTGGGACTTTGGGAGAGTTAAAGAGGCTTCTGCGATAAGGGCAGAGAAATCCAGGAGGGCTAATGAGGACGGTAAATTTTAAGGCTAATAAGGACAATAATTTTTAAGAGACCTTGGACGGGGGTCGTGAAAGAAAGACTAAGATAAGAGCTGTAAAGCTGGACACAGCTGCCCAGGCATGTACGGCCCCTGAGAGAGAGCCAGTCACAGAGAGGGTGACGAGATTGTAGAAAAGAGGAAAAAGGTTTAAATATCCCCTAGACACAGGCCCATGCAGTGTCTTTGCCCCTCCTTGCGTCGCTGCCTGGAGTCTTTCACTTTTCCTCTAAATCAACTTTCTCTTTATTTTCTAAATAGTGATTTGCTCCTCTGTGCTTATTTATCTGAGGGTTTGTCTACAAATTCTCTTCTGTGGCATCATGGGACAAGAACCCCATGTCATTCAAGGGTTACTGGGGTGAAAAGCAGCAGCTGTGATCACAATAACAGGGCACACAGCTTCACCAGAATCCAGACAAGGATCTCACACTGCACTTGTTATCTCATTAGTTTTCTTTAATCTAGGAGATGGCCTAGCTTGTGTGTGTGTGTGTGTGTGTGTGTGTGTGTGTGTTGTGTTTATTTCACAACAGCGGCTTTTTGAAAAGTTCAGCTATTAATAGTTGTTTTGAAGAATGTCCCTCAAGTTAGATTTGTGTTTGTTTTTCATGATTAGATTCAGGGAAAACATGTTTGAAAACTACATAGGTGAAGGTGTTCTTTTCAGCGTAAATATTAGGAAGCCCTTGTTATGTGCTAGGTGTCATGGTTAACTGGGTTGACATTTGGCTGCTTAATTTGCTAGTTAGGAAGGTTGGTTATTGAGATGTTTTCTCAATACTAGTAGTCCTGGATTCATGAGGTTGTTAATACATTAATAATACTAGCAATTTATTAGTATTGTTATTATCACTATGCTCTTTACCAGCATTTATAGAGGATTTAATTTGTGGTGGTCACTGAGCTGCTTTTCATTTTTCTTTGCACTGAAGATCTGGGGTGTAGGCCAGAGGTGTGTGTGTGGGGGGGAGAGGATTCACCAGAGTGGGGAGCAGAACAGGCAGATCTACTGAGATACACTGCTGAGGGGTGCAGCAGGCGAGTCAGGAGAGGTCTGCTGCGCCATGTGGGTAGCTCCCTGGCTGGGGATGGAACTCAGGCTGTTGTGGTGACAGTGCTGAGCCTTAACCTCCAGGCCACCAGGGAGGGGCGTCCTGGATCCTTTTACCCCTCAGGCCCTAAGAGCAGTGTAAAGCACACAGGAGGAATTTATTGGCAAAATGACAGCTCTTTGACAGATGACTATCAAAACCGCACTAAGAATACGGCAGTGGTAAGAGCCCCACACTGCTCCTGGCGAGCCAGGCCCAACCGCTTGCTCCGGAGGGGCGTGGCTCCCTGACCCCGCCCCAAACCACACCCACCAGACAAAAGCTCCGCCCCCGCCCCGACTGGCGCTCGCGGACGGCCACGGTGTTTTGGCCCGCGAGAGGAGCCGTAGCCACAGTCTTCTCGGGCGTCCGCAGCCGGGAAGCTCTGCGGCCTGGATCGCCCGCCTGGACCGCGATGTCGGACAAGGAAGCCGGGGGGAGCGGGGGCGCGGCGGAGGCGGGCGCGGTGACAGTCAGCGACGTCCAGGAGCTGATCCGGCGCAAGGAGGAGATCGAGGCGCAGATCAAGGCCAATTACGACGTGCTGGAGAGCGTGAGTGGGGCGCGGGGCTCCGGGCGGGTTGGGGGCGTGCCCGGGCCTCCGGACCCGCGCCCCCGACCCGGAAGGCCTGGGAGGCCGGGCGGGCTCCCCGCACCCCCGCGGGAGGCCCGGGCGCCGCGGCCTTGTGGGCAGCAGGCGGCGAGGCCGGCGCCGCGAGTCCCCGGGACTCTCCTGTGGTCCCGCGCCGAGCCGGGCCTGTTTGTGGGGCTGACATTGCTCAGCGCTTTTCACGCTCGCAGCCACCCTTGGGGTGATTCTGTTACCCTCCCGCCCCTGTGGGGGCCAGGAAAGACACGTGGCTGAATTCCAACTTGCCTCCAGTCCCAGAGCTGATGAGTTTGCAGAGGCAAGGGGATAATCACTGCCTTCCCCGATGTCCTGTGCTTTGCTAACCACCTTCCAGCCCGAGCTTCTTAAACTTTGTATGTGCGAATCGGCTGGGGATCTTGTAAAAATTCAGTCTGACCAGAGCTTCTGGTCTAAAGACCAAGCTTTGAGTGACACGTAAAACTCATTATCCTTACTGTACGAGGAGGAAAGTGAGGTCCAGAGTGTGGCAAACCCTTGCCTAGAGTCAGGCGACTAGGAAGTGACAGTGGTAAGACTAGTTCCCAGGACTATCTGACGCCAGAACTGATACAGTTTTTCTCATGCCACGTAGTGTAAAACCACAAATCAGAGGAAGGGTGCATTAACTACATCCTCTATAGGGTGGATGGAGGCCTTTCAGGTGATGGGTGTAAGATGAAGTGTGGTATGGAGGTCAGGTTACCATTTTTACTGGGTGCTGACTCTGCTTAAAGGTTGCTGGTTTATGGGTGTGTTTTATCATGAAATCTGCACAATACCTGTGAAGCTGGTATGTTTCCCCCAAGCCGAGAAAGGAGAAATTACTTGCTCAAAGTCACGACATAGAATTCTCATCTTAGGCCTGTTGGAACCTGTGAATCTGGAATCAAGGGCTCTGCCAGCAATTTCTCGAATTTTAGCTACTCTTCTACCATAAACCCGATGCTGTATCCATATACTTCCTGTACTGATGCATTCTTGATATTTTTCTTAAGGTGGCCCACTTTTTTACTGGGGTGCAGGCCAGAGATGCAGGGGAGGTGACAGGATTCATCAGAGAGAGTGAGGAGCAGAACAGGCAGATCTACTGAAATACACTGCTGAGGGGAGCAATGGGCGAGACAGGAGAGGTCTGCTGCGCCATGTGGGTAGCTCCCTGGCTGGGGATAGCTTCATAGTGCTGTGTCTTAACCCCTTGCGCCACCAGGGAGGTCTTATCTCAAAATTGTTAAAACAAAATGGAGGGACCCAGAGATGGCACGTGGTGGGGGTGGGAGGGGAGGCTTATAAAGACTAATGTCAAGAGGAGGCTTTTTCCTTGTGCATGGAGATAAGTGGAGAGGGGAAAGTACTCTGGGGTCAGAGTCATCTGATGCCTGGTGTGGGGCCCTACTTGGAAAGCAGTGTCTTATGTAGTCTCAGGAAGGTCAGTCACCTCAGCCATTGTGGAATGGCCACAGGCAGGTACGGGGGGTTGACCCCTGGTACGTGAAAGCTGTATTTACAGTGAGTCTTGTGTCAAGGGAGTGTAGGAGTCTCCTTTTTCTTTCCAAAAGGAAACAGTATGTGTGACCCAGAGGCTTGTGGAGAGAACATGAGAGAAGTAAAAAGAACCCGTTTTCCTGGTACCCGTGGGCAGGACAGTGGGCAGCTTGTCTCTTTGCTAAATAATCACCATCATTTATTATTTTCCATGTAGATTACTCTCCCCGGGCCACCTTAACAAACTGGGTGACTTAAAAACAACAGAAATGTATTGTCGCACAGTTCTGGAGGCCAGCAGGCCAAAATCAAGGTGTTGACCAGGTTCCTTCTAGACATGCTGAGGAAGAATCTGTTCCATGCTTCTCTCCTAATTTCTGGAGGCTGCTGGCCCTGGTGGGCTTGTAGCTGTGTAACTCCAGTCTCTGCCTTCCTGGCCTCCTCTCTGTGCGCTAGACTGCCCTCCTTTCTCTCATAAGGACACCTGTTCTTGGATTTAAGAGCTCACCTAAGTCCAGGATGAACTCATCTTGAGATTCTTAACTACTTTTGCAAAGATCTTTTTTCCTAACAAGGCCACGTTTACCGGCTCTGGGGGCCAGAGCTCCAGGGGGCACTGTCCACCTCAGTCTGAATGTGTCTGGACTGCACTGGGCATTCTGCACAGGCCAGCTCGTCACTTCTCACAAGTGAGGAGGGAGCTGAGTGCCAGTATTCTCATTTTATAATTGAGGAAGTGAGGCTTAGAGAAGTGAGTGTCTTAGCCAAGGGTACCCATACTGTTAGGCGCAGAATTGAGAGTCAAAACAAAATACAATGACTGGCCTCCCTGGTGGCACAAGCACTATGAAGCTATCCTCAGCCACTGTAGCCTGAATTTGATCCCTGGCCAGGGAGCTACCCACATGGCGCAGCAGACCTCTCCTGTCTCCCCACTGCCCCCCTCAGCAGTGTATTTCAGTGGATCTGTCTGTTCTGGTCCTGCTCTGTCTCTGGTGAATCCTCTCACCCCCTGCATCTCTGGCCTGCACCCCAGCTCTTGTATGCATAAATAAATACATCTTTACAAAAATATATAATGATGGCACCATCCCTGCATCATAGGGCATTTCACTGCTTGTGTCCATGCTCTGACTTGTGTAGGAAAAGACTTGAGGATGTTGAACAGTGTATTGTTTTAAGTAGGGGGCACATGCCCATTATCAAAATTCAAAGTCTACAAAAGGATATCAAATGAGAAGTCTCCCTCCCATCCAGTTCCCTGCCCCAGAGACACCTGGTGATACTGCTGTATCCTTCCAGAGATGAAAAGCCTCTTTGAAAGTCCTCTTAGATCTCTTTATTTCCAGAAGAACCACAGTCCTGCCCCAGCTGGGTGCTCTTTGGGGCTTTCACTCCCCTCCAGCTTCAAGGTCGCCAGCCAGGTGTCGGGAAGGAGGGCTGGGAGGAGCGGAGGAAGAGACTGGCCTTGGGAATGATGTTCAAAGAGTGCTGAGTTTTATCTGCACTGTTCGAACTTCAAAAAAGGAGAATGGTCTCCCGCCTTCCTATGTCATTAAACATTCATTAAAAGAATATACTGGGCCTCCCTGGTGGCGTAAGGGGTTAAGTCTCAGCACTATGAAGCTGTCTGCAGCCACTGTAGCATGAGTTCGATCCCCGGCCAGGGAGCTGATCCACATGGCGCAGCAGACCTCTCCTGTCTCCCCGCTGCTCCCCACTCTGTCTCTGGTGAATCCTCTCACCCCCGTGCACCTCTGGTCTGTACCCCAGTTCTTGATACATGCATAAATAAAATAAATCTTAAAAAAAATAAATGAAAGAACATGCCACCTCAGAGGGTCGTTGAGAGATGGGCCTGGCGTGCCCTAAGCCGTCAGTCCATGCAGCTGTGGTTGCTGTCGCCTTGGTTGTGGCTGCAGACGAGAGGGGTCTGGGAAAGGTTTTGAGGACTTCATTCCTGTGAATTTTTTTTAACCACATCTCCTTCCCACAGCAAAAAGGTGTTGGGATGAGCGAGCCGCTGGTGGACTGCGAGGGCTACCCCCGCTCAGACGTGGACCTGTACCAAGTCCGCACCGCCCGGCACAACATTGTCTGTGAGTGGCCCTCGAGGGGCGCCCCCACCTCGCCGCAGGGGTGTAAAAGGCCCATGGATGAGATCAGCTCTATTCCATATCACCTCCTCCCTCTCTCCTGCCTTAATGGGCCCGTCTCCTTGTCTCCATCACGGGGCTGAGAACTCAGGGAATGACTTAGAATCTGGGGTTCTGTGTGCAGGGCTTCATTTTGCGTTTTGTTTTGTAACTTTACGTCACTTTATTGCACCAGAAACCCAAGTCAGATACTGCTGATGGTCCTAATGAGGTCAGTTACGTGTTAGGAAATCTGTTTGGTTGTTAACGAGAGTGACCTGACTATGGTCACGCGACTATAAAAGGGTCGAGTCTCAGGAAAGGCACGTGGAGGTGGGCAGAGTGAGGCCGGCCGCCAGAAACCCAGGCTCTGCCCTCCACGGGCAGCCTTCCCTCTTCAGTCACCTGTCTTGTGCCAGGGGGGCAGGAAGGGGACAAGGAAGGTAGGAAGGGTAGAAGATCCTGCGCAGCTTAGCACCCCTCCTTTTGGGGATCCACCCTGCAAACCCTACCCTCCCGTCAGTTTCTCCTTGCCTCTCTCGGCCCCCCTGCCTGCGGGACGTGGGCAGTGGTCTCCGGTTGGGCCATGATGGGCGTGTCACCGTCACAGATAAAATTTCCTCCTTATGTGTCTGTCTTCACCATCATGGAACGAGTGGCGAGAGAGGTTGGGTGAGGTGTTAGTTTTCTGTTTTTGCTGTAACAGTTGCCAGAGACTGAGTGGCTTAAAACGATGCAGAGTTCTTACCTTAGAGTTCTGGGGTGAGACATCCAAGTGGATTCCATGGGGCTGAGATCAAAGTGTCAGCAGGGCTGCCGTGTCCCTTTTGGAAACTGTAGGGAAGAGCCCGTTTCTTTGTCTTGTCCAGTTTCTAGAAGCGCCCACCTTCCTGGGCTGGCGGCCCTTCCTCCGTCTCCAGCATCAGGGGTCCGTGCCCTCCAGCCTCTGCTGCTGTCATCACATCTCTTTCTCGCACTCTCCTGCCTCCGCCTTTCTCTGATGAAGACCCCGGCGCTCACGTGGGCCCACCGCCTGGATAATGCAGGCTCCCGGCCCCGTCCGTGGCTTCAGCGCCTCTGTCAAGCCCCTCTTGCCATTTGAAGTGACACGTTCACTGACCCTGGGATTAAGATGTGCGCGTCCTTGGTGCAGGGGGCACCCGCGGTCTTCGTGAGAAAGTCGCGCCCGAGGGGCGTTTGTCGCCCACATTGCTCACTCCCATCATGACTTCTCTTTTGCCCTCTTGAATCTCGACTCCACCTCCATCCGTGTTCTGATACAAGACCGCACTTGGTGGGGGCCGAAGCACCCTGGGGATGGGGGCACAGGTTAAAAAACCAGAGATCCCCAAAGCCACAATATGATCCTAGAATTCTTCTTAGAGCATCATTTTTCCGGAGGATTTGGGGGCGAGAAGCATGCCATTTTTGTAATAAAACAGAGTGGAAGATACAGCGTCGGGGAAAACCCTGCTTAGACAATCAGACTGGAGGGAAATTTGGGGCTTTTGGCTAACCCTTCAACTCCCTGGGGATATATTCCCTTGTTTCCATGGTGGGGGCTTCTGGGGGAGCTTTGGGGGCTGCCAGCCTACAGTGGGGAGGGACACTGACTTTTTCCCCCACAAATGGTTAGCCAGATGTTCCAATACCATTTGTTAAATAGTCTGTTCTTTCCCCATTCGTTTGAAATGCCAGCAGTATAATGCCGTGAATGTTCAGACATGCTTAAGTCTCTTTCTGGCTGTTTGCCCTGTCCCGCTGATTACCCCTTTGGGTGCTAACATCACACTGTCTGAATGACTTCATTGAACTTCAGAATCTGGCTGAGTTATTCCGTCTTACTGGGCTTCTGAAAAAGTACAAGTTTATTTCATTTTTAAAAAGACTTTTTAAAAACAACTTGATTTACAGAAAAATTGGGAAAATGATAGAGAGGTCCCACATTCTCTCTGCTCAGTCCCCCCTGGCATTAGCATTTCACACGAGGATGGTACGTTTGTTCCAACTGCAGGTTTCGATTTTGAAATACACTTTGGAGATCTTTTATCCAAGAAAAAAAATTAAATTTTGAATTGCAATATTGTAAATAAGGTCACTCATTCTACTACCCAGTCACTCTAGGTCTCTGCTCACTGCCTGCCAGGGCTTGCTGAGGGTTCTGGGGGGTCCTCATGGGGTTTATTGTCTTGGGAGTGGGGTATCTTTTGGAGTCAAGAGGTGAACCGCCTATTCTCCTCCGACACATTTTCCGTCTTCCTGCCCAGATATGTGCCTCCACTTACTCTATTCTGGGTTCTTTTCTCTTATCTGCATCTGGGGTTTGGGTGGAGCCCCTGAAGTCCAGCTTTGCCCTGAAGTGACAGGACCAGAAGAGCCAGGTCCAGTAGCCATGCACGCCCCTAGTCGAAGGCCCTCTGGGAACTTGCGGGTCTGTGACCCATACAGGCTGGATGCGGCTTGGCTGGCAGCACAGGCTGGCTTGGGTCGATGAAACTCCTCAGAGGGAACTGTGTGAATGCCCGGTGTCAGAGCATTCAGAGTTGGGGGGCTTGTTTTCAGGTTAAGACATTAACAAAATCCAACCACTCTGCAGGCCTGACCTGCAGGGGTGACTTAGTTGGCCACATGACAGTTCAAAACATTTTGATGTGGCCATTTTAATTTCCCCCCAACTCCTGGTCGCCGGCTCTTCTCCCTGTTAACCTGTCCCGGATCAGACATCATGCTGAGCCTCCGCCAGCAGGTCTCCATGGACTTGTGCATCGCTTTTTCTTGAACAGGCACTAAGAGAAGAGTGAGGTCCTTCCCCCAGCCCCTTCACTCGCTTCCCTGGCCACCTGCTCGCCCCTGTGCGCAGCACCCCTTGTGCTGTGGATTCAGCTGCACGATTCCTCCCTTCCGGGTCTCAGATGAAACAGCACTGCCTCTGGCAGCCTTCCCGGATCTCCTGGGTCAGCTTTCCAGCTGGGTGGGCCCTTAGTGGCGGTCAGCAGGCTTCATTGGAATGACTTGTCCATCGCTGTTTTCCTTGCAAGACTGGAAGCTTCTTGAGGGTAGCTCAACTGTCTTGTTCACAGATTTGGCTTCAGCCTCTCGCCGAATGTCTGCCATGTAGTAAGGTTCGTTGAATGGTCAGTGAGTAGACGTGGGAGTCATGCGTCCTCAGCTGTCTTCCTGACACGGTCTCCTCCTCCCAGGCTTGCAGAACGATCACAAGGCCGTGATGAAACAGGTGGAGGAGGCCCTGCACCAGCTGCACGCTCGTGACAAGGAGAAGCAGGCCCGGGACCTGGCTGAGGCCCACAAAGAGGCCATGAGCCGCAACCTGGGCCAGAGCGAGGGCCTCAGCACCCCACAGCCCTTCGCCAAAGTCAACAGCATCAGCCCTGGCTCCCCTGCCAGTGAGGCAGTAAGCCTATCCCATACCCAGAGGGCCCTGTGGTTCAGGGGCAGTGGTGGGAGGCTCCTGGGAATGGACAGGCCCACTGCGTGCAGCTTAAAATCACTTACCATGACTGCGGCCTGCAGGGGTCAAGCCCCTGCTGGGGCCAGGGCTTTGGAGAGGGGTCAGCTTTCGCTGCCCATTAAAGTGATGGGGGCATGAGGTAGGTGATAGATCTCCTAGGAGAGGGGAGGAATGTTCCTTGGGGCTGCTTTTTTCTGGTTACTGAGTGCCAGGCTCAACATTGGCTGAACCTTGGTTTGCCTCAGGCATCCTGCCAAAAGAATCCTACATCACCTGGCACGTTTTATTTTTTATTTATTTCATTTTATTTTTTTTAAAGATTTATTAATGCATACACGAACTGGGGTACAGGCTAGAGGTGCAGGAGGTGAGAGGATCCACCAGAGACAGAGTGGGGAGCAGAACAGGCAGACTGACTGAAGTACACTGCTGAGGGGAGCAGTGGGCGAGACAGGAGAGGTCTGCTTTGCCATGTAGGTTGCTCCCTGGCGGGCTGGGGATCGAACTCATGCTGCAGAGGCTGCAGACTGTCAAATTTTTCATAGTGCAGTGCTTAACCCCTTGCGCCACCAGGGAGGCCCGTTACCTGGCACATTTATTTTTTTAAAGATTTATTTATTTATTTATACAAGCACTGGGTATGGTCAGAAGCGCTGGAGGGTGAGAGAATTCACCAGAGCCAGAGTAGGGAACAGAACAGGCAGACTGACGAAATACACTGCTGAGGGAGCAGCGGGCGAGACAGGAGAGGTCTGCGCGCCGTGTGGGACCCTCGCTGGCGGCCGGGGATCGAACCAGTGCTGCAGAGGCTGCCGGCAGCTTCGCAGCCCAGCGCTCAGCCACTGCTCCACCAGGGGAGGCCCATGTTTTAAACGGGTTTACTGAGATATGATCCGTACTGTAAAGCTGACCTATGTAGAACTTACGCTTCAGTAGCCGTTGGTGTGTGCACAGAGCTCTGTGTCCATCTCCTCAGCCAACCCGGAATACATTCCCTTATCCTGAGAAGAACCCCTGTGCCAACTGACTTTACCCCCGCTCCGCCAGCCCCCTCCACCCTGGGGCCACAGTCTGCTCCAGGTGAATGCCGCTCTTTGGGAGACTTCGTGTCAGCAGGACCCCAGGGCATGTGGCCCGCATGGCTGCCTTCTCCACTTGCTCCACATTTTCAGGGTCCGCCCACGTCTCCATTTCATTCACTCTTGTGACTGAGTGGTTGTCCGTTGTGTGACTCAACTATATTTTGTTTCTCCGTTCTGCTTTGGTTTCCATTTTTGACTCTGGATGATATTGCTGTGAGCATCACGCGCAAGTGTTTACGTAGACGTGTAATTAAAATTTAATCCCATAACCACCTTCTGGGAAAGGCACGAATCTTTCCTCACTTCACCTGAAGGGAGAAGCCTCAAAGACTGGGCATAACTTGGCCTATGACACAGAGCTCCCCGGCGGTGGCCCTGGGCTCCCCCTTGTGCGGTTCTAGTAAAGGTGTCCAGGTCCGCCCAAAGTCCCAACTCTGGAGGTGGCAGCAGCTCCAAGCAGGTGAGGGGAAGTCAGACGCTGCTCTCTGCAATCTCCACCCAGGGCCAGGCGCGGGTCAGTCTGTGCCTGTTTCAATCTGGGGTCAAAACTTAAGCAAGTTTGCCCTTGGAACCCCCAAACCAGCAGCGACAGGCACAAGGCTGACAGGATTAGAGGGACCCCCTCCTTAGAGCACATCACCATTCATCCAGGGTCAGCAAGACGGACTTTATGTGACTCAGTCTTGTGATCAGTAAGGACAACTGGCAGGACCTGGATTCAGGGCCCAGGGCCACCGCTGGGAGCTCTGTGTGCTGGGCCTAGTTATGCCCGGTCTTTGAGGCTTGTCCACTTGGGTGAAATGGGCAAAGATTTGCACCTTTCCTGGAAGGTGGCTGTGGGATTAAACTTGAATTCCATGTCTATGTAAACACTTGCGCATGATGTTCGTAGCAACATTATTCACAGTAGTCAGAACGTGGAGGATGGCCAGTCCCCCATCACCCCCTTGTGAGGTGTCTGAGTCACTGCCATCTTCTCCCTGTTCAAGACGAGCTTGGCCTGTTGGCCCACCGGTGCTGGAAGGTGAGGAGCAGAAGCACCACCTCGAGCCTCTAGCCTGGTTTCCGTTTTCTCTTCTCTGTAGGGCCTGCAGGTGGACGATGAGATTGTGGAGTTTGGCTCTGTGAACACCCAGAACTTCCAGTCGCTCCAGAACATTGGGAGTGTGGTGCAGCACAGCGAGGGGGTGAGTTGGGGCCTGCGGCATCTGGTCAGTGACCTAGAGTTGCTGTCACCTTTGACAGCTGCTTTCGCATCGGCTGTTCCTCCTCCTGGAATGCTTTTCTGCCCAGTGGCCCTCACCTTCCTCCCTCACCTCCCACTCTTGTACAAATGACACCTCAGTGAGGCCCTTCTGGCTCTTTTCTTGGTAGTGGAACCTCAACAGAGACCTGTGCTTTGCAAGAGAAAGATGGGACTCAAAGCTAAAGAAGTTATTTCCTAAAGTTTTTGGTTCCCGAGCAAAATCTTCTCTTTACACAGCAGTTCTTGCCTTGCCTTCCGCCCTCTCACTTCCTGCCGTTCACGCTGCTTGTCCCGTGTAACTGTCAGAAGGAGGTGCCTGGCCAGCTGCCCTGCCCCCCCAGCAGTCAGGCCCCCACTTCCACACTGGCACCTCGTCGGGTCTGTGCCTGCTGCAAGTTTGAAATTCTGACTGTCAGTCTCATCAGTCTTTTACGTTGTGGCTTTTGCATTTTGTGTCTGCTTGGAGAAAATCTAGTGGTGTTCTTTTGCTCCTTCGTTATTCTTGAATCCATCTGTGTAAGTTGTGTAAGTTTTATGGGGGCACCATTGGAAGTGCACGGATCAGTGTCAGCCTGTGCGCAGAGCTGTGAGTCCCTCACCACCATCAGTTCTAGCCTGTCCTCATCGCCTAGGACGGGGTTCCCACTGGCGGTCCCCCCACTCTCCCTCCCCCCCAACCAGAACGGCTCTGTTGGAATGGATTTGCTTATTCTGGACATTTCATATAAACGGGGTCACAAGCTGTGTGACCTTTGGTGACGACCTTCTTTCCCTGACACGTTTTCAGGGTCCGTCAGCATTGGAACAGGCGTGGCATTTCATTCCTTCTTATGCCCGATCAGTGTCCCGTTGTGTGGAGACGCCGCGGTGTGTCTAATTTACCCATTCATTCGTTGATGAATATGGGGGTGGTTTCTACTTTTTGGTAATGTTGAATAATAATGCTCCGAACATTCACATGCAAGTATTTGTGTGGATGTATTTTCAGTTCTCTTGAGTATATACCTAATCTGGGTTTAATGTTGTGAATGTTGTGAGGTAAGGCACTAAATTTTCTCCCCCAAAAGGAAATGTACTGTGCTGATACCTTTTATGGAGTAGAAAATGCTTGACCCACTTATTTATATTGCCACCTGTTACATATCAAATTCCAATGTGTTACATTCTTTTTTTTTTTTTTTTTAAGATTTATTTATTTATGCAATCAAGACCTGGGGTACAGGCCAGAGATGCGGGGAGGGTGAGAAGATCCACCAGAGACAGAGCGGGGAACAGAACAGGCAGACTGACGAAATACACTGCTAAGGGGAGCAGCGGGCGTGACAGGACAGGTCTGCCATGCCATGTGGGTTTCTCCCTGGCCGGCTGGAGATTGCTTCATAGCCTGGTGCTTAACCCCTTGCACTACCAGGAAGGCCCAGCGTGTTACATTCTTCATTTTGTTTTCTTGTCTGTTCTTATCCTTTCTAGGGTTCCCTCAAAAAATTTGTTTTCCTTGTTGGCTTCCTTTTAACATCATTCTCTAAAGGGTGTATTATTTGTCTATCAGTGAGTGAAAAATCACCCCCAAACGAAGCAGCTTGAAACAACTAATAGCTGTTCACAGCTTCTGAGGGGCAGGCATCCAGGGAGGCTGAATGGGGTGCTCCTGGCTTGGGGTCCTCAGGAGGTCTTAGTAGTGTGGAGGCTTGAGAGGGGCTGGGAAACTAGCTCCTGAGATGCTTCTCTCACATGGCTATGGGCGGGAGGAGTCAGCTTTAAGCCATGTGGCCTCTGCATGGGGCTGCTTGAGTGTCCTCACAATATGGTGACCGTCCCCTGAGCCAGTGTTCAAGAGAGCGGGCAGAGGAAGCTACAGCAGTGTCTTTGACCCAGTCTCTGAGGACACAGACTGTCACTGAGTCGTTAGAAGTGACTCACTGAGTCCAGCCTACACTCAGGGGGAGATTAGGCTTTTCCTCTTGAAGGAAGGAATATCAAAGAATTTAGGGACATAGTCTAAAACCACCACACAAGGTTTCTATATTCTCTACTTGCTCAGTTACCAGCTTGTGCCCTGTCTCGGAACTTCTCATTTTGTGGCCATTCCTTGTCTGTGTGGACTTCTTTCCCCTTTTACTTATGTGTCTGTGTTATCCCTTTACTGTTCAGTCATCATTTTTTTTTTAAGAATTTTTCCTTTATTGTAAGGTTTTTATTTTATTTTTGTGTAGAAGAACTGAGGTGTAGGACAGAGGAGTAGGGTGGGGAGCATTCACCAGAGACAGAGTGGGGAGCAGGACAGGCGGATCTACTGAAATACACTGCCGAGGGGAGCAGCGGGGAGACAGGAGAGGTCTGCTGTGCTGTGGACAGCTCCCTGGCCGGAGATCAAAGTCAGGCCATAGACGTGATAGCGCTGAGACTTAACCCCTAGGCCACCAGGGAGGCCCCCAAAGTATCTGTTTTTCATCCCCCTGCCTGCTAGGGCAGCTTTCTAGCATATTCTGGGGTACTCACATCTCTTGTGTGACTTGATACACTTGTACACTTTGTAGTTCTCTGGCCTCTTTGCTGCTGGCTTGTTCTGTAAACACGTGTAGTACATACATGGTCAAAACCAAACCAAAAACACAGAATGAAAGTCTTCTTCAAGTCCCTTTCCGTTCCATCAGAGGCTGTCAGGCCGCACGTCCTTCCAGGGAAGGTCTGTCTGCGCTGGCGTACAGGGCTATGACTTGTTTTTATCAAGGTATAATTTACTTACAGCAAAATTCACCTTTTTCAGAGTACAGTATAGACGAGAACTGTCACCAAATGATCCATAGTGTCCAGAAATGGTGCTGTGTCCCTTTGTGGTTAACTCCTCACCCACAGGCGGGCTCTGGTCTGTGCTCCAGCTGCGTAGTTCATCTTTTCCACAACATCATCTGCACGGGCCTGTGTGTGGTCTCTTAACCTGGCTTCTTTACTCGCATCATGATCTGAGGTTCTTCCATGTGGGGGCGTCTCTTTGGCTCCTCCCTCCTGTTGCTGAGTAGTGCTCCGCTGGTAGACAAGCCCCGATTGCTTACCCAGGCTGGGGGTGAGGGGCATTTCGGTTGTTTCCAGTGCGGGTGATTACTGGTAGTGGCCCCTGTTTCCAGCCCACCTTTCCTGGTTAGGTATAGTCTTTGGCTTTTTGTAGCTCTCTAAATCCTTCCCCAGAGTAGTTACTCAGTCCTTTTTTTAGCAACAGAACCTTTTTTTGCAAATGAAATTTCATAGGGGAATTCCAGGATGCAAACAGATGAAAGCTGAGAGAGCCTGGGGGGAGCTCACCCCCCAGGGCCCTGGATTCTCCTGGGGCCGGAGCCCAACTTGCGAGTGAGGCTCCAGGTGTGCGGGACAGCTCTGTGAATTGAAAAACCAACAGCATGCTGTTGTCGGGCATTTAGGTAGTTTCCAGTTTTCTGGAAACATCGAGATCGTGCTGTTGCAGTCAGAGCTCTGTTTCTTTGTATAACTTTCTAAATGTGTGTTTTGGGACAAAACATGTATGTTTTCAGAGGAAGAGATTGAAACCCACTGAATCATGTGCTTTATTTTTATTTTTATTTTTTTAAAGATTGATTGATTTATACAAGAACCAGGATATAGGTCAGATGTGTGGGAGGGTGAGAGGATTCACCAGAGACAGAGCGGGGAACAGAACAGGCAGACTGACTGAAATACACTGCTGAGGGAAGCAGCGGGTGCGACAGGAGAGGTCTGCCACGTCATGTGGGACCCTCACCGGCTGGGCAGTGTCGAACCCGCGCTGCAGAGGCTGCAGACAGCTTCACAACGCGGTGCTCAACCACCTGCGCCACCAGGGGAGACCCTGAATCATGTGCTTTTAAATGGTGAAATTTGTCTCAGTAATAAAAATCATGCATGTGTATCGTAAACAGTGCAAAAAACAATCAAGAAAGAATAGAATCCCTGCCCCCTCCCTCTGTGGGCCTCCCTGCCCAACTCTGCGTGCTGGCCAGCCCGGTGCCGGTGCTAATGGGGAGCAAGGCAGGTCATCAAGGGCCTGCCTTGGAGGCACGGGTGGGGAGACAAGCACCAGTCCTGTGGTCACAGCTACGTGGCCACACTGGTCAGTGTTGAGAGATCACCTGAAGGAAAAGTACAAGGAGGCTAGCAAAGTAAATAATGGGGTCCTGACTAATTTGGGGGTGAAGGAGATGTTCCTGAGCATCTATACGTGTTTAGATGCTGATGAAGTTGGGGAGACGGGCGGGGAGAGGATCCTTCCAGCAGGCCTTGACGGGAGCTGGGAGGACAGAGAAGCCGGGCTGGAGCGGGGAGTGGAGGGGGGCCAGGCCTGCAGTCCCCGGTGAGGATTTTGCTCTTTCTCCTTGAGGGACAGTAGGGAGCCGTGCACCCCCAAACTGGAGAGTAACAGATGTTAGTGGCTTCGTTACTCTGGGCCGATTTCTCCAGATGCGAGGTAGAGAATTGATGGGAGTTGGCGGCTGAGTCTAGAGACAGTGGTGGCTGCGATGAGTGGGCTGGAGGGGAAGGAGGCGGGCCACTCAGAGGCATCTAGGAGGTGAAACAGGTGGACCTCAACGTGACAGACGGCGCCAAGGAGGCCCCGTGGGTTTCCAGCTGCCCAGACCTGCCACTTCACTGAACTGGGAGTCCAGTCTGAACTGGGGGGAGGACGAGTACCCCCCAGGAAAGTTCGCAGCCCTGCTCGCTGGCCCGAGCGTGCCAGGCCCCCGCTCTCCTGCCAGTTGCAGGCTCAGGCTTAAAATAAGCCCCTTACCAGTCTGCCCAGCACAAAACAGAGGCTCCATACTAGAGCCTGACCTTGTTTGAGCACTGAGAGAGCTGTGCGCGAAATGAGCTGCTTTTCCTTCCAGAAACCCCTGAACGTGACAGTGATCCGCAGAGGGGAAAGTCATCAGCTTAGACTCGTCCCAACACGCTGGGCCGGAAAAGGACTGCTGGGGTAAAGTATCTTCTCTGTTCTCTCTGCCGCGGCACGGGAACGTTTGCTGGACATAAAGCAGGGGGTCCTGGAACTGAAGGGGGTCCCCAGAATGCCTGCAGAAATGCTCGGTAAACACTTGCAGGAATGTGCTTACTGGGACGGAGGTGGAGGGAGCCCTGATCTTGCTGGTTCTTTCATTAACTGGGCATTTGCTTTGAAAGAATAAAGATGTAGGGAAAAGCCTAAAGGGATCCCCTTCTGTCCATCCTGACCGGAGCCCCCAAACTGAACTCTGTTCCTTTTTCTTTTCTCTTGCAGCTGCAACATCATCCCTTTGCAAAGATGACTGGCCCTGGGCACAGGAACAGGGAGCATCTTCCTTTGCCCCTGACTTGGGTTGATCAGGGATTCCCTCCCTTCCTTCTCTCCCCGAAGTTTAAGGATCTGGAAGAGGCTGGAAGCCTGAACTTCTGGGTGGTGGGAACCCCGTGGCCTCCCACTGTAACCTCCCAGGACTAAGGCATCGTTAAAAACTTCACTTGTGTTTAGCATCTTTTGCAAGTTAGGCCATGGACCCAGATGGGAAGCCTCTGGATTGTGGGCGCGTGGGCTCAGTTTAAAAGGCAGGTGCTGATGGGACTTTATTCTTTTAGGACTTTTCCCCCCCAAATAAACAGTTTTGAAGTGCTGATGTGACCATGTTATCACGCCACCTGAATTACTTATGAACCTCTCAAACCGAAGCTCAGCAGTTAGAACATCCTCACAGAAAGCTGGGCAAAGTAAGCCTGCGGTTGTGCTGGAGTCAAGATTTGACCAGGTCGCCTCAGGGATGCCATCCTCGAGGGGAGATGCCGCACCCCACTGCTGTGCCCGCCCCAGCACCCATCCAGAAGAGGCTGAGCAGCGGGGGGCCTCCGCCCGGAGCTCCTCTGCCACAACTGCTCCCCTTAGAGAGTAAAGAAGTTGGAGCTCCGGGTGGCTCCCCAGGCGCGGCACCCCCTCCGTCACCCACCAGAGGGCAGCGCGCTCCCTTCACTTCCAAATAAAACTCCGCAGATCAACGTCCAGTGCTACTTGACCATCCAGCCTTGTGACACGTCTCCAGGACCGTGCGGACGGGCTTGACGCTGCCTAAGGGAGCGTGGTGTGGTGTGTGTGGATCCGACGCCTTGACGTGCTGATCCTCCTTATGTTTTCTCTAACGTGGCAAAATGGGCTTCAGTAACTCCTTGTGACCCTGTGTCTTGCTCTGCCTCCCTTCACCATGTCACGCATCTGTGCCACTTCTGCCAAGCCTGCCTGTGCTTTCGGGGACCAGTGATGGCAGTGCGTCTGGGGGTGTGCCTCCAGCCCAGGTTCTAATGCCCCCCTGGCAAGCCTTCCTGTGGAGCGCATTTCCCCAAACTGTGCCCTCGCCAGCACGCACACGCCGCAATCCCTTCAGTGGCTGCAGACGGGTTGAGCTTCCCAGTGGTTGCTGTTTAAATGGTGTGTTCTCGTTGCGGTGTCCTCTGGTCTGTTTTTTTTATAAGCCTTAGACGATAATAAACGCAGCGTGTACCGTTTGCTTTATTCCTCCCTTCCCCTCTTCTTTCTGAGATGTGTACATATTCATCAGCCAGCACAGGGCATTTGGGGGGCAGGTAGGGGGAATCAATCACATTCTCCTAAAATGATAGCACCGCGGGGCTTCCTGCCCCAGAGCCGCTGGCTGGGTGTCTGCAGGTCTCTGGTCAGGTACCCCAGCATGGCCTTGTGCGGTGGGAGTCCGCTGCCAGGCAGAGCCATCCTCAGGTTTAGCCTTACTGGTGGTGCAGAAAGGTTTTGCGGGAACAGCAAACTGTTACATGATAACCTGCGTGACACCCAAGCCCAGCGAGTTAACACGGCACACGGTGCCCCTCAGGAGGTGTGGGGGCCGCGGTCGGCTGTTAAAAGACGGACTTTCTTTTGCACAGAGAATGTTACCAGACGCTTGCACAGGCTCGCTTCACACAGTCAAGCTTCCCGAAGGCCCGGGGCTGTCCCGGCCGCTGCGGCGGGAGGGGCGGCGAGTCCTCCCCCGGCCGGCAGGGGGCGCGCCGTCCCCGCGCGACCGCACCTCCCTCCCGCTTTACGGCGGGTCGCCCGCGGCGCTCGGGGTTGCCTTGGGGACCGGGCTTGGGTGGCAACCGTAACTAGGGAGCCCGAGCGGAGAAGCGGCGGCCGCGGGAGGCCCGGGAGGTGCCCGAGGGGTGCAGGCGGCGGGACAGCCCGGCCTTGGAGGACAGGGGTGGGCGCGCCGTGAGTCGGGGCCCAGGGGGACCCCTTGCGGGCGGCCCGGGGGGCCCCTGAGCTGGGGGAGGAGGCGGCCCCTGGCGTGCTCCCCACGGACCCCCCTCGCCCCCCGCCCCGTTAGGATTCCCGGGCAGAGTCCGGCTGAGAAGCGCGACGCTCCGCCGGGGCCCCGGCTGGAGACGGTCAGGGGGGCTCGGGCCGCACACCCCGTGGGCTGCGGGCCGGGGGGGGGGGCCGGGGGGGCCGGGGGCGCGGACGGGCCTCGGGGCAGCGCGGACAGCTGCCGGCGCAGCGGCTGAGCCCGGGGGGCGTTTCCCGCGTCTCCGCAGAACGAGCGAAGTCAGACGCCGGGGCGGGGAACGGGGTGACCGCGCAGCGACGGGGCTGGCCGTGGGGGCCAGGAGCGGCGCCCACGAAGCCCACGCCCTGCCCCGCGCCGCGCCCCTCGCTGCCGGGAGGTCGCTCAGCCCGCGCGCCCGGCTGGACGCCCGTCCCGGGAGGGCCCAGGCCCGGGGTCCCGCGGGGGGGCGGGGGGGCGGGGGGGACCCCGCGGTCAGCGGTCGGCCTCTTCCAGGGCACCCCGCGGGGAGGACCCTCGGGGCGGAAGAGAAGCCCCCGGAGGCAGGGATGGCGGACGGACGGACGGACGCGGAGGAAGAACATAACTCGAATAAGAAAGAAACAGAAAACGCGCGGCCGGACCCAGAGGAGGACGACGGCGCTTCCGCACCGGGACCCTCGCGGGAGGAGCGGCGGGAGGAGGGGGAGCGGCGGGGGGCGGAGGAGGAGCGGGAGGAGGAGGAGGAAAGAGAGGCCCGGGGGGAGGGAGGGGGGCCGGGGGCGAGGAGGGGGCGGGGGAGAGGGCAGCGGCGTCGGGGCAGGAGGAGGAGCGGGAGGAGGGGGAGGGAGCACTAGGCGGAGGGAAGGAGGAGGAGGGGGCCAGGGAGGAGGGAGACGAGGAGGAGGAGGAGGAGGAGGAGGAGGAGGAGGAGGAGGAGGAGGAGGGTTGGGCCAGGGAGGAGGAGGGAGGGGGCAGGGAGGGAGGAGGGAGGGGGCAGGGAGGAGGAGGAGGGTGGGCCAGGGAGGAGGAGGGAGCGGGCAGGGAGGAGGAGGGGGCCAGGGAGGGAAGCGAGGGCGGGGGTGAGCCGGCGGCGGGGGGCGCTGCGGGAGAGGCCGTGCAGGCGACCGGCCAGGCCGGGGGAGCGGAGGGCGAGAGCCCCGCGCCCGGGCGGGTCTGGAGAGACGTTGGTCGGCGGAGCCGGGGCCCGGCGTGCCCGGAGCGTCCTCAGTAAGTACCGCGGCCGCGCGCCCTCACAGCCTCGCCCCCGCTCGCTGGGCGCCCCTCGAGGCGGTGCCGAGCCAAGCACGTCCTCAGGACCGGCCTGGGGCGCTGGGGGCGGGCGGCAGGGCAGGCCCGTGACACCCTAGGCGCGAGCCGAGTGCGGCCGGAGCGGTGCTCCCCGCCGACTGCGTGGGGAGCGGGGCCGCGTGCTCCCGGGGTCCCCGCTTGTGCCCTCTGGCTGCGCCAGGACGCCCCCCCGATGTCCACACGGCTCCAGGCCCGCGGAAGGCCGCTTTCTCAGACGCATCCCCGTTGTTTGTGAGCTATGACTGCTGTTTAGAAAAGGCCCGAACTACTTAATCCAGCTTGGAGGGTGGTCAGGGAAAGCTTCCTGGAGGAGGTGTGTGCAGAACTGCCTTAACGGGCTGGGGGGTCAGCACGTGCTTGTCTTGGAGAGTCAGTGTGGGAGCAGCGACGCAGGTGCCCGCGTCCTCTCCCTGCAGCGGAGCCCAGCTCTGGCCCCAGCAGTGACTCCTGAGGGCAGCCCCCGTTTGGAGAATGATGTTGCTGGGGTGGGTCACCCTAGGCCGCGTAAGCCGACACCCTGTGAGCCATGGGCTCCAAGTCCCGAGTACCTCCACCTCCCTTTCAAAACGCCCCGTCATTCCCGCAGGAGGCCCCGCCAAGGCTGGCTGTCTGGGCATGAAAAGGAGCAGGGGTGGGATCTGACATCAGGACCTCCTTGTCTTTCTTTTTTTTTTTTAAGAAAACCGACGTGGGTCACGAGTCCGGGCCTTCTCTACCGTCAGAGAGTTGGGGAACAGGGGAGCCCCTGGATGATGAGAGCCCACAGTTGCAATCTCTTGATTTGGATCAAAACATTTCCGAAGAGCAGCAGCTTACCTCCCCTGAAAGGCAGGCCTCAGGCGAGCGCCGGTCTGAAGCCGAGGCAGTGAGTCAAGACAAAGTGGAACAGGGGCAGAGAGACTCTGAGGAAGAAGGAAGAAGAGAAAGAAAGATATCGCAGTTGATGAAGGAAAAGGAATTCCCGCCCACAGCCGCGCTCCTGGCCGAGTCGCTGGTGTCCACCACCACCGAGGACGTTTTGTTTCAAAAGGACGCCAGCACCTCTGTATATCCCCTGGTGAGCGCGACGTGCCTCCTGACCCCCCACCCCTCTGCGTATTGTGAAGTAGAGTTTGTGCATAGGGGGAGGAATACCGCCAGGAAGAGCCTTTTAAAGGTTTGTTTTATTTATTTATGCATACAAGACCTGGGGTGCAGGCCAGAGGTGCCGGGAGGTTGAAAGGACTCACCAGAGACAGTGGGGAGCAGAACAGGCGGATCTACTGAAACACACTGCGGAGGGGAGCAGCGGGGAGACGGGAGAGGTCCCCTGCGCCCTGTGGGTCAGCTCCCTGGCTGGCCGGGGATCGAACTGGTGCCGCAGTGGCTGCCGATAGCTTGATAGCACTGAGACTTAGCCCCTGCACCGCCAGGGAGGCCTGTAGATCCTTTTACAACAAGCGCTGTTTCTGGGCAGTGCTGGGCTCCGCTGGACGTGAGGCTGCATCTAGTCTGGCAGCGGCCCCGCGGGTAGGCCGTTCCCCGCGTGGTTTGTCACACAGGATGCTATTTTTAGTGGGAGACTCCTCCAGCTTGGAGAGTGGTCAGGGAAAGCTTCCTGGAGGAGGTGTGTGCAGAATTGACTGGAAGGCGACCTGCATCCTCTCCCGGTGTGGCGGAGCTCGGGGGTCCCTCCCTTTCCCCCCACTCCCCTTCCGCTCCAGGCTCTGCTCTCCTGCCTCTCTCTCTTTCTCACATTGCAATACTCCTCCCCCAGCCAGCAGCCCCTCCCTGTTCTACTTTGCCTGCCTTCTTCTGTCTTAACCGGCTCCATCAGTGCCTGTGCAGGTTCCTAAAACCACCCATTCCAAGCTGCAGCAGAAAACAAAAGGTCTGGAAATAGTGACTGCAGCTGGCCCAGGGCATCTGCCCGTGCTGCCGCTCATGGTGTTCCAGGGCCACCATCTGCGAGGAAGAAAAATATTATTTACCCAGAGAAGGAAAGGGAGGGGCTTTTCCTTCTTCCTCCTGCTACTTTCTGAAAACTGTTTCCTAAGATTCATTTCCTTTTTTTCTTTTTCCTTTTCTTTATTTATGCACACAAGAACTGGGGTACAGGCCAGAGGTACAGGGGTGAGAGGATCCACCAGAGACAGAGTGGGGAGCAGAACAGGCAGACTGGTTGAGGGGAGCGGCGGGGAGTCAGGAGAGGTCTGCCGCGCCATGTGGGTAAGCTCCCTGGCTGGGGATCGAACTCATAGTGCAGTGGCTGGCAATAGCTTGGTAGCTTGGTAGCGCTGTCTTTAACCCCTGTGCCACCAGGGAGGCCCCATCACCTCTTCCCTCTGTGGATGGATGCTTCTGGAAGGTTTGTAAGCAATTGAATAAGGTACTTAATGTAGTTCCTAACACACAGCGAGAACTTGATAAGTGTTAAGTAGATGGTGGTGATGATGGTGGTGATGATGGTGGTGATGATGGTGACGTGGTGCTGATGGTGATGGGAAATGCCTAGTGGGCAGTGCAGACACCCTACAGCCTCCTTTCTGGAAACTGGCCGAACTTGAGCAGCCAAGGTAAAGGCTCCAGCTTACTGCTGCTGTCTGCAGGAAAGCCTGATTCAGTCTTAGAGCCCATGGAGAGTTTGGGGTACCCTCCCAGCCTGGGGCTCCCTGCCAGACCAAACTTCCCTACATGACCGACCCCTTTGCAGATGGGTTTGGGTCATCTTCTCTCCTTCCCCCTCCCTCTTGCCTTTATTGTTTTCTCGTTTTGCTAACATGCGTAGGATTGCTTTGTAAAATATTCAGACAGAGGCAGATCCCTCCTCATGTCCCCCAGGGCCCCGCTGATCCCATTTCCTTGAGGCGACTCCACAGCTGGTTTGGTGTAGCTGTGCAGCTTTCTAGATCCTTCTATGTACACGCACACGCCCTGTGTGCGCTGCACTCACACCCACAAATGTATGTAACCCCATGAACACACACATGTGAGTATATGTGTATAGATTTGTTTCACCAGTGAGATATCCTCTGCCCGTCTGCAAAATGTGTTTCCACCGAGCATGTCTTAGAGGGTTTTGTTACATCAGTGCAAGCAGGTCCACTTCCTGTTCGCAGTCGCTGTCTGCCCGCGGATGGCCCTTACGTCCCTTCTCAATTCCTCCTCTCGCTGATGGGGCTGCACTGGCCGTGCTCCCCTCGCTCTCTGGGGGTCCACGGGCATCGTCCTTTTCCTTGGGGGCCCCGCCTTTTCCCAAAGGGCTGTCACGGCTCCCGTAGTAAATAGGCACCACCGGGGCCCCACCTCCAGCCAAGAAGCAAGGTTGCTGGTTACGCAGGAGAAGGAAGCTGATGAGAGACACTGGAGACGGTGGAGCGGGGCTTTGACAGTAAAGCTTCTTCTCCACATCCCCAGGTTTTAGGAAACAAGTCGATATTAGGGGGTCCGCTCCACGGTCGTCAGCCTGAATGCAGACGCTGGTGCAAAAGGCGGTGATGGGCGCCCCTGGGTCTCCGTCCCTGTGGGTGCTGCTTGAGGAGGGAGACCAGGAGCCGGGGGGACGCCAGCCCAGGTGGGCCTTGGGGAACTGCCCCCTGCAGTCAGGAGTCCACTGAGGAGACCTGGCTCTTTATAACTAATTTGTTAAATGGCAAAAGCAGTTTCCAGGATGAATGTATGCCTCTCGAGGGTGAGCAAGCTTCTAAGAGAAAAAATCTCACGTGGAAAAACTGACTTTAAAGACCCAGCCAAGTATGAAATCGTTCCGTTCCTAGAAGTTGCAGCTTGAGACAATTATGCTTTTGAAATTCTACCCCTCACACCCACACCGTGAGGGCCTGCACATAAATATAAATTACAGGGCAGGAGCAGGCGGAAAGAGGAGAGCACGGGGAATGGAGAAGGTACGAGGGAAATCTGCCGCGTGGCCCGCTCGGTCTGTCTGGGGAGAAATACACGGCCGAGCCACTTCACCTCAGACGTGTTGTTCAAGGAGAAGAAAGGAGTCTCAGCAGCTGTTGTTTCTATACACCCACACCATTCACCGTCATCAGTAACTAACCCCTTCGCCGTCGCTTTAGACACCCTACACTCTCGGCTGATCAGTCGTGAGACAGAGCGGGGAGCAGAACAGGCGGAGCCACTGAAATCCACTGCTGAGGAGAGCAGCGGGGAGACAGGAGAGGTCTGCCGTGCCCTGTGGGTCAGCTCCCTGGCCGGGGATTGAACTCGCTGCAGCGGTGACAGTGCTGAGACTTAACCCCTACGCCACCAGGGAGCCCCCTGATACATTCTTATTAGCTGGAGTCTCAAGTCTACTTCAGAGCTTAGAGCTGGTCCCTTCTACGTGCCTAAACGCAACTGGATTGCACAATGTGAAGCGCCCATACGTCTCCAGGGCTGAGCGAGGCCCAGGTTCTGGGGAGTGGAAAAAGAGGACTTTATTTCCATTGACTCTTGAAGGTTTTCCTTTTGAATGGAGCTATGGTTCACCATAAGTCACCCTCTATTAAAAATTCCTGGTAAAAAATACACATGACAGAATTTTCCACGATACCATGTTTAGTCACTGTTCAGTGCATGCGCCTTACTGCGTCACCAGCCCCCTGAGCTCATCCTCTCCCTGAACTGAACTGCCCCCCAGCCCCTGCACCCCACCACCTGCGCTCTGTCTTTATGACTGTCTCTACTTTGGGGGCCTCATGTAAGTGGGGTCACCGATGTCTGTCCTTGTCCTTGGATTCTTTCATTTAACATAATGTCCTCAAGGCTCATCCAGGTTGCTTCAGGATTCCCTTCCCTTTAGAGGCAGATTATACTCCTGTGCCCATGAAGTGGTCACTCTCCATTCTGCCTCCCTCCAGTCCGGCCCCCCCTCACTTGCTTTTGTTGCTCTGGAGCTGCCTGTTCTGGGTCTGCCTGTCCTGGGTCTGCCTGTGATGCACAGGTCATGAAGACGGGCCCAAACTCCGGCCTCTGCCTCTGAGCGGACGCTTTCGGGGTCATCCGTGATCTGTCCGCAGGCTCCCAGGACTTTCCCGATGTGCTTTCTCCCTTGGGTCGGCGCGTGTGAAGCCCTCCTCCGGGCCCTGGCGTTCCAGCCCTGAACTCTGGCACCGCGGGGTCATCCGGCCCCCCTCTGCCTTCCAGACCATGACCTGGTGCTACGGCTGGAACAGCTCCCTGCCTGTTTACTACATTCGGAACCAAACCGAGAGGGTGATTCTGTACGCCTGCGGCCACACCGCCGTCATCTACAACGCCCTCAGGAACAGCCAGCACCACCTGCAGGTACTGGGGTCCCCTCCCGCCAGCGAGAGGCATCTTTGACTTGAAGGTGGGGCTCTGTTTGGATGCCAAAGGCTGCACCCCGCCCCTGCCGGCTTTCCCCCCTCTCCTTGAGGCGGGCAGATCCTGTCTTCAGAAACACAACCGGCTGCCCCTGGTCTCTCTGCTACTCAGAATCGGCTTCCCAATGACAGTGGATATTAATTTAATAGCAACAGGAAGTGAACGCAGCTGTTTGGTTTTCTTTATTTTCTGTAAAAATGTACCCCGTCTAGACAGCGTTGTCTCCACCGAACGCTGGTCAAGCCCCGGGGTGGCTGTTCAGCGGAGATGCTGACTGAATCGACGTTTAGGCCCCTTTCCAGCTGGCAGAGGGCGCGGCCCTCCTGACTGCGCTGCGCCGCGGGTGTTGATCACCCCGTTACACAGAAGGAAGTGAGGCTCAGCGTAGTTTTGTTGACCTGCCCCAGCCTGCCTCAGAAAATGGGGAGCCCGGGCTTTAGACCCAGGTGTCCTGCCTTGGAAGTTGCCCCGGACCTCCTCCCCCCAGCGCCGTTCCCAACTTCCACCCCCCCCCCCCCCCCCCCCCCCCGTCACCTCCTCCAAGACCTACTCGCCTGCCCCCACCACTGGCTCCCCGCGATCCTGTCGCCCCAGCCTCTCACCTCCTTCCTGTAACTTATCCAAGTCATACTTTCCTGGCGTCCCACTTTCCATTAGCCTGGTCAGCGGCTCCTTGCTACCCCTGCGTACTCCAGTACGTCCCCCTAGTCGATGGCTCGCCGGAAAACACCGCAAAGTACCCCCAAGAGCTCAGTCAGCGCTCAGCACTGTGCCAGGGACCCAAGATCGGTGCAACTGAAGGAGTTTGCTTTCTAGAAGTCCAGAAAGGCCCCTCCTATCCCTTCCCAGCCAGCAGTGCCTCTGGGTGCTTAGCCACACCGCCCAGGGGAAGAGCTTTCCTGAGCAGGCGTGGGGCAGGAGTGTCGGGCCGCCCCATGGGAGCAGGCGGGCCGGCTGGGAAGGCCTCCACTGCTCGCTCCTTCCCTCCTGCCGCGAATATTTATCCTAACACTGCGTTTCAGATCTGTGGTCCCGAACACACAGATCTAGTCCCCCTCGTGGACTTTATAGTCTGGTCTTTGAGACACCGGCCGAAGTGAGGGGAGACTTGCTCTAGACGGGGTGGCCTGAAGGGCGAAGGTGAGGCACCGTCTGGGGGAGCGCGTTCGACAGTGGGAGCCTGAGTGCAGGCCTCGTGCCAGGCCCAAAAGGAGGGTGTGTCCGAGCAGAGTGAGCCAGGGGCAAGCTAGGAGGGAGCCGGGACTAGCCCACTGTCCTGGCAGGGGTCCTACCCCGTCTCACTCGTGTTTCCAGAAGATTCCGCTCTCTTGTGAGGAAAAGTTTGTGGGAGGTTAGGAGTGAAAGCAGAGACCTGTGTGGAGACCTTTATGTCAGAGCCTTGCTTGATGCGGACACTTTCAGGGAGGTGAGGCTGGGGGTGGGGAGGCCCTGGACATTTGTTGTCCACCCGGGTCAGGGGTCGCGCACGTGCCTAGACCCCCGGAAAGTACTTTTCCTGTGGGGAAAGCGGCTTGGCCCTCAGGGGGAGAAAGCTGGAAACCGCTGGCCTAGAGCAACAACGGGCAAGGCTGGGGGGCAGGGGAGGGAATTTCCCGTTCAGCGGAGCCTTGAAAGGGAGCTGCGTCCTCTGGGGTGTGGGGGCTGCTGTTCCTGCCGGTGCTAGGCCGGCTCCCCCCTAGATGTTTCAGAGCACCTTTGCCCCGTTTCTGCAGGGCCACCCCAACGTGATCTCCTGCCTGTGCATCAGTGAAGACCGGCGGTGGATAGCCACGGCGGACAAGGGGCCTGGATGCCTGGTCATCGTGTGGGACTCCTACACCGGGTAGGCCCCGCCGTCTCCCAACTCCCTCCTCCCGGCTCATGAGTGGCCGCCTGCCAGCAGAAGGTGCAGCCTGCAGGCCTGGGGAGGCTGGAGCCAGAGAAGTGTGCAGGGGGAGGGGCCAGGCTGCCAGGGAGGTTGTCCTGTCGCCTCAGGGCCCGATGGGGTGACATCACCTTGTGGATTTTCCACTTACTATTCTTGGCTCTTTGAACCAGAAGCTTGGTTGGTCAGCGTGCCAGAGTGGATGGGGCTGAGGAAGGCCAACTCATGCGCTCGCAGATGCTCAAAGGATAAGCCAAAGGCCAAATCCGGTGCTGTCAGGAGACGAGTCGCTCTCACAGAGAGAGGCTTTCCCGTCTCTGGCCAGGCCGCCTCTTTCTAGGCCGACTGATGGGCACCCCCACGTGTCCCTCCTGCCCCCCACTCTCCAGGCCTGTTTCAGGCCACCCATGCTCCCCCTTCTGCTGCTGGTTTCCCCGCGGTGGCTGAGGACAGGACACTTTCCAAAGCTGTTGTTTCTCCACAGCCACCCCCTTCCTCCAAGCCCTCCCCTCTGCTCAGAGCCCAACACAACCTCTTTTAATAAAATTATTAATAGATTTTTATTTTTAAGAACGGTTTTAGGTTTATAAAAAAAAAAAATAATAAGAAATAAGAACAAAACAAGACCGTGGAGCTGGCCCAGAGGGTTCCCACATTCCCGCCTGTTTCCCTGTTATTTCCAGCTGGCCCTGGGGCGGTCCTTCGCTGCGCTGGTGAGCCGGCACATGAGCCAAGACCACGGTTCCTTCACGTTCCCATCGTTTTTCCATGTAAAATTTAGATGCTGTTTCCCTACGAGCTCCTCTGGGCTGCAGCTGATTTTCAGTTTCTTGTTTTTGATGCCCTTGACAGATCTGAGGGTGGCTGCCCAGGCATTTTGCAGGGTGCCCTGCCCCAGGATGTTTTTCTTGTGGAAAGGCCATCGTAAGCCTCGGCTCTCACTGTCCTGGGCACCTTCCTGGCAGGCGGTTCTAGCCACACACCCCGAGCCCAGCGCAGGGCAGCTGGGAGCCTGGGGGCTCCCCCGTGCCTGCTGACTGACTCCACCCACCGCCCTCCTCTACAGTCAGGCTGGGCAGGGAGTCCCCGGACAGAAGGGGCCTCACTCCTCATTGCCTCTCTTATCCTCAAGTCCGGCTCTGCCGGCCTCTTCTGACAGCACATCAGGCAAGGAGCTCAGGGCCTCTGTGGGCCAGAGAAGTGCTAATTCAGGGGGCGCCCCCAGCCCACGCTGACTGCCGGGCCCCCAACATAGGTGACACAGGAAGTGAGAGGCAGTGACTGGGTGGGGGTGGGGGCCTGTGCAGCCGGTTCACTTTGCTGTGAGATTTTTATTTTAGAAACATATTGGCCTATAGTGGATCAAATCGAACTGCCAAGTCCTTGACCAAGTATTGTTTAACAAGGGCCGGGCTGGCAGGTCCACAGGTGCGCGTCCTCGTCAGTCTGGCTGCCGTAACAAAGTGCCAGACACTCGGTGGCTCAGAAACAACGGAAACTTATTTCTCACTTTCTGTGGTTGGAAGTCAGAGGCCACACCCTCAAAGGGTGAAGAGCAGAGGAAGCCAGCTTGCTCCGACTCCCAGGGCACCAGTCCCTCCGTGGGGCCTCCACCCTCACCACCTCCTCTCATCCTCTCACCTCACAGGGGTCCCACTTCTAATACCCTCATCCTGGGGAGGGGGAGGGGGTCAACATGGCAATGGGGAAGGGGCACAGAGCTGCTTCACAATTCGCTTTTTTTTAAAAAAAGATTTATTTATTTATTTATACAAGCACTGGGTACAGTCAGAAGCGCAGGAGGGTGAGAGGATTCACCAGAGCCAGAGCAGGGAACAGAACAGGCAGACTGACGAAATACACTGCTGAGGGGAGCAGCGGGCGCGGCAGGAGAGGTCTGCACGCCATGTGGGACCCTCGCCGGTGGCCGGGGATCAAACTGGCGTTGCAGAGACTGCGGGTAGCTTCGCAGCCCAGCGCTCAACTGCTGCGCCACCAGGGGAGGCCCACAATTCGCTTTTTTCCCACAAAAATTTGGGTGATTTTCCCAGACCTGCCGTATCCTTTCTGGAGGTATGTTTCATGAGGCGGTGATGTCATCCTGTTCTTTTTAGCAAGTCCCATGTTAATATTTGTGTCGTTTCCAGGTTTTATGTGGTGAAAGCTGAGCCACAATGAGTGCAGGAGCATTTTATCTGTTTCCTCATTAGGTTATTCTTTGTCTAGGAAAAAGTGGTCAGCATGGATTGTTGGGCCAGAGTGCATTTCAAATGTTAACTGATGCGCCTGAGTAGCTGGCTGAGGTGGCCCATGACCAGGGTCCTGTCCTGCTGTCGTCTCCCTATTTCCATCCTTCACACCCGGCCCAGGCCTGGCCCAGAGTCCACACTGAATAGTGGACGAGAGCTCAGGGCCTGGAGGACAACAAACAGCAGTGTGCTTGAGCTAGGTCGTTTTTATCGAGGCAAAATTCACACAGTGCAAAATCAGCCATTTTAAAGGGTACGACTCAGCGGCAGCTAGCACACTCACGATGCTGTGTGACCACCACTTCCATCTAGTTCTAGAATATTATTATCACCCCGAGTGGAAACCCTGTCCCCTCTGGCAGTCACTCCCCAGCCCTTTTGCTGGCCCAGAAAACACCAATCTGCCTTCTGAATGGCTGGATTTACCTGCTCTGGATGTTTCCTGGAAATGGAACCCATGGCTATGGGGACTTTCCTGTCCTGCTTCTGCCCTCGCAGAACAGGTTTCAGCCCTTCATCGCTTTTTTTTGTTTTTTTTAAGATTTATTTATTTATTTATACAAGCACTGGGTACAGTCAGAAGCATGGGAGGGTGAGAGAATTCACCAGAACCAGAGCGGGGAGCAGAACAGGCAGAAAGAGCAAAGTACGTTGCTGAGGGGAGCAGCAGGCGTGGCAGGAGAGGTCTGCGTGCCATGTGGGACCCTCGCCGGTGGCCGGGGATCGAACTGGCGCTGCAGAGGCTACGGGCAGCTTCGCAACCCAGCGCTCAATCGCTGTGCCACTGGGGAGGCCCACCCTTCATCGCTTTTTGTGGCTGACGAACACTCCATCGTATGAAGGGGCCACGTTTTGTTACCCATGGTTGCTGGGTGTTTGAGGTGGGGCCAGGAAGTCGGCAGCCCGGCAAACGCACGCCCATCGTGTCCACAGCATCCCAGTGCATACGATATTCGACAGCTGCCCCGATGGTAATGGCATCAGGGCGATCGCCATCACGTACGACGCCAAGTACCTGGCAACCATCTCGGACGCTACGATCCAGGTGCGAGTCCTGGGGTGGCCCGGGCGGGTTGGCCATCCGTCCGTCCCCATGAGCGGCTCCGCTCAGGCCGCAGTGCCCACGATGGGCCCAGGGTGCCAGCCGTGGCGCAGCTCACGGGGCTTTGCTGGGCCTCCAGGTGACAGCGTGGCCACGGCACGCAGGCTCCTGCGCAGCCTCACCTTCTGGCTCTGTCCCTCACAGAAACTGTGCATCTGGAAGTGGACTTTAGCTGTGGACACGCCGTCATGCACCCTGGAGCTTCCAGAAGAGTATGGTCTCCAGGTGAGTTCAGTTTCAGCCTGAATGGTCGGCCGGAGAAGCCGGGCCAACAGGCCTGCGTGACCCAGTGAGGGTTTTGTGTGGAGCAATAGAACGGTTTGAAAACACTTCCATTTACACGGTCTCCTGTTCCTTTGGATGATAACAGCTCGTTCCGCACCCCCCACCACCTATTACGTGCCAGATTCTGCTGCGTTTCTCACAGTCTCTCACATAATCTCTGCCAACCCACTGGGAAAGGGATGCGATTAAATTGTCATCGCCGAGGAATACTCTGCGGCTCTCATTCGTCCTCGCACCTTCATCTGTCACACATTGATCGAGTCCCTACTATGTGCCAGGCACGGTGGAAAGCACACACCTGGACAGGGGCCAGCGCCCCAGCACAGGGCCGCATCAGAACACACCCTCTCTCTTCTCCCCCCAACACGCCTCCTGTTCCCCAAGAACAGCTCCGTACAGCAGCTCTCAGAGCTGCGTCAACACAGTAGCCTCCAGCCGTGGGGGGGTGTGGGGCGCCTTCAATTGTGGCCAAAAAGCCCCTCTGGGATGCTGGTGGCGGGTGACTGGAGAGAGTGCCCGTGTGGCGCCGTCCCCCTCACAGTGTTCATGTAAGTTTGTCTTTGTTCATTTCTCTGAGCAGAGCTTCCTATTTTCTCCGTGTACAGGTCTCTTCGCCCTGGGGGTAAATTAATTCTGCAGTGTATTCTGGAGGCTGCTCTCGGAAGTGGAATTTCTCCCCTAGCTTCCTTTCTAGATTTTTCATGGCCAGTGTAGAGAACAGGAGCTGATTTTTGTGTGCTGGTTTCGTATCCTGCAACACTGCAGGAAACAGCGGCTGCTTACATTTAAAGTGATTAAAATTAACTTACAAATTTAGGATCTTCGTTTCATCAGCCACAGAGCATGTCTTAGGATGTCACGTGGCCCTGCAACCTTTTTCCACAGCTTGGGCCCTAGGGCATTCTTTCCATCCTCACAGAAACGGGGCCGTTGGTTGGCGCTCAGGAGCACCCCCACTCCGATGACCTCCGCCCCCTGCCCCCCTGCCCGAGCAGGGGACATGCAGGGAGAACCACCGCTGAACTGACTCATTTCACTTGGAATCCAGTCGGAGGCTTCCAGAGAGCACCGGCTCTGCTCTCCCCGGCTGTCTGCTTCATTTCTGGAGAGGATGGTTTCTCACTTTCTCCTCACACCTCCCACGGCCCTTCCTCCGGCTCTCTGCCGATGACCTCTCTCGGGTTTCATTGAGAGAAGGAAGCCGTCCTGCCACACTCCAGGCCCACAGCCGGCTTTTGGCTGCACCACCTCCGCTCAGCACCGGGAGGCCCGGGCAGAGGCCCAGCCTCCCCTCCCCGCCGCGCGCGGCTGCCCGCCCTCCAGCAGTCGCTGCTCCCGCGGCGGCCACGGGCCCCAGGGCCTTCAGCAATCTCTGACCCCGCGACTCCCTCGCCCTGGCTGTCTGCCGCCCTTCGCGGGGACTTCTGCAGGAGCCAGCCATGCCTGCCTCCCTGCCTCATGTCTCGCTGGCTTTTTATTTTTTTTTTGGAAGAGATAGTTGATCTGTTTATATTTTTATTGTTAAATAAGGCAGCCAGGCAGAAAGTACATTTTAAAGAAGGGAACAGAGTCGCCTGTGGACTTACTGCGGGGTCGGGAAACAGGACGTCATCTGCGCCCCAGCAGCCCCCCTCGCCGTCCTGCCCCAGCCCCAGCCCCTCCCTTGCTGCCTAGAGTTAGCTGCTGCCCCCAATTTCGTGCCATGCACCCCTCGCTTTTCTTTCTGTCTCCTCTGGAGACACACATCTCCCTCCACACTGTCTCCCTTCGTTTTCTTCGTTTTTCTTGGTTCGGCCTGTCTGGAAGCGGCTGGTCGCCTCGCTTGAGCGCCACTGGTGGCGGGTCTCGAGCTGGAATTCGCTCCTGGACTCTGCCCCACGTGGCTTTGCCTTGTTTGGACTCAGCTTGAGGCTGAGGCCCTGTCATCCGCCCTGGGCTGGCGCCCCCCCCCCCTCCTCAGGCTCCTGGCGCTTCTTCCTCCTCCTCAGGCTCTTGGGGGTAGCTCCCACTGCCCATGGCGTGAGGGGGAGACGCTACCCCTCCTGCTGCAGGCCGCGTCTCCCCCGGACGCCCCGACGTTCGTTGTCATCGCTTCGTCTCTGCACTTCACTTGCTCTCATTTCTCTCCTGTCCACAGGGCTGATTTTTTGGGACGGGAACTGGGCGCTCCGGCCGCTCACCTTGGCGGGGAGCACAGGCTCTTCCAGGCTCTGGCTCCTGCCAGGCTGTCCCCGGCCCTGTCAGATTTAGAGCAGCGCACACAGCGGCCTTTGTTGAAAAGGACAAAGAAGAGGTTATGGGGGACTGCTGGGCTCCTCGCGCTTGCTCCAGTTTCGCAGACGAGGAGTTATAATCGATGAGACTGGGAGGGGAATGCTGCGAGTAATTTCAGCACTCAGGGTTTCAGCTCCGTTCCTATTGTTTGGCAAATGCCATGTCTTTGTTATTTTATATTCCCACTCAGATATTTTTATCAGTTAAAAATATTATTCAGCCAGAGAGAAGCAGTAAATTTATCACAATACTTTCCATACTTTATATTGCAGAACTATCTCACTTTTAATCCAGCAAATAACAAAGAATTGGTGAGCAATAGTAAAACACAGGCGATATATTACATGTGGGTAAGTAGAACTATTTGTTTGTTTTATTTTATTTTTTTAAAAGATTTAATTTATGCATACAAGAGCTGGGGTACAGGCCAGGGGTGCAGGGTGGGAGAGGATCCACCAGAGACAGAGTGGGGAGCAGAACAGGCAGACTGACTGAAATCCACTGCTGAGGGGAGCAGCGGGAGAGACAGGAGAGGTCTGCTGCCCTATGTGGGTAGCTCCCTGTCTGGCTGGGAATCAAACTCGTGCTGCAGAGGCCACGGACAGCTTTATAAGTTGCGTCTTAACCCTTGTGCCACCCGGGAGGTCCTATTTTGTTTCTTTTTAACGTGGGTTCAAGTGCGCGTTGTTTCTCTGAGCACAGATGTTTTAGTCATATAACAATGAAAGTACCCGCTAGGAAGCAATAACAACATATTGAAATATTTTTATTTAAGTGTCCTGTTTATTTAGTCCCACTGAAAATTAGCCTATTAAATCAGAGGCAGATATTTTAAGTTTCATTCATTTTTAATTTTTTATTTTTTTAAAGATTTATTTGTATTTATTTATGCATACAAGAACTGGGGTGTAGGCATGAGATGCGGGGAGGGGTGGTGAGAGGATACACCAGAGTCAGAGTGGGGAACAGAACAGGCAGAATGAATGAAATACACTGCTGAGGGAGCAGCGGGGAGACAGGAGAGGTCTGCCTTGCCATGTGGGTAGCTCCCTGGCTGAAGATCGAACTCATGCTGCAGTGGCTGGCGATAGCCTGATAGTGCTGAAACTTAATCCCTTGTGCCACCAGGGAGGCCCCCAGGGGTTGCTTTTCTTTCCAAATGTTCTAGACACTCCTGGAGCAGTAGGTTCTCTTACCAGTGGGGGTGGCAAAGCCCTCGCCCTCATGTGCATTTGTTTTTATTTTGTTGTTATGTAGCTTTTTGGCAAACCAGGTCTTTTCTTTAACTGTGATTATGTTTTCCTGTACTTACCAGAACGAAAAGAAAGGCATACTTTTCCACAGCGCCCCAGTTTTAACAGAAAAAGTGAGTATGGCCGGTGTGAGGTTACATGTCAGCTTCATGGGGAAGAGCTGTGTGCGTGCGGCCTGGGGGCCTGGAGTCGCTGTACAGGTCAAGATGCTCAGCTCTTGGGAAATAATTAGAAATTTGACTTAGGTCCTTTGCCCCATTGAACTGTCAGTTGAAAATAACGGACGTGCTGTTAAAAATCAAATCATGGAAAAGAAAGTTGACCACCAGGAGAAAAACAGGCAAGAAGGTGACTGTTGGAACGTATGAGTGCCAATGACAGCGTGAACGTGACTCTGGAGTGGCGTGAGGGAGTGTTTGAACACGAGGGGGTCCCTTTTAAGCTGCTTGGTTTTCAGGGTCACAACAAGCGATATTGGGGATTTTGATGGTAAGGAGCCAGGAGAAAAGTGGGTGCACGGCCCCGTGGGGGCCACCTCGCCTCGCCCATGGTGTCTGAAGTGGAGCCAGTTTTCTCTCCTGCCTCATTACCTTTATGCGAGTGACTCACGGGTCGCCTGCCCAGGCCAAGCGCCCTAGGATGGGTTTTCTGCTGGCTTTCTTCCCTGTTGGTGCGATTTATAGGGGTTTATGCTTTAAGAGCACTTGATCAAAGGGGGAGGAACAAAAAGATGAGACCCATGGACTGTACACAAGGCAAGATTGTTCCGTCTACAGACTGTTTTCCGTAATTCAAAGTACTAAGGAATAAATGTGGTCAGTCCTGTCACGCGTGGCTGCGGCTGAAGCAGCCGGCCCAGCTCCTTGCTCCTGGAGAGCAGAGGAGGTTCCTGCCACCCCTTCTCCGTGCGCGATTGTGACCCGGATGCTTGCTGCAGAACGTGCTGTGCTGAGGTCTGGAGACCACAGTGTGGGAGCAAGGCCTGCAGATACTTGGGGTCCCCTCTGTGGGGCGCCTCATGGCTCTCCCTGCCAAGGAACACTAGGCAACATTTCAGTGCCGCATTTGGGAGCCAATGTAAATGCCAAAACCACCAACAAAAAGCACCCCCAACGGGCAAATGACATGGCACTCAACAGCCCACGAGCAGGTGGCTTGTTCAGGATGCCAGGGCTGACATGGAGGGTGGCTCCCTCTGACCTCGCTGGGACGGGCAGTCAGGCAGGTCGGCCTTCTACCTCTCTGCACGACCTGCTCACGTCTCCAGAGGGTGTGAGTGTCCTGAGGACTGCTGTGGGCTGCACGTAAATTTTGCGAGTGGGCAGATCCACAAACTCAGAATCTCAGATGATGAGCATGGGCTGCAGTTTGAGAGTGTAATGGTGCCAACTTGATGCTGCAATTTTGCTGGCCTCTCTGCCTTCAACTCAGAAGAGGCAGGTAGACCCAGGGAGCTCCTCTGCCTACCTGGTGAACCAGGCAGCAGATCCCCTGGATCATATGCCAGGGGGCTTTTAACCCCCACCTAGTCATTCAACAAACATCCGCTGGACGGCTTCACTCACTGTTCCGGCTGCGTTCTCTACATCATCCCTGAGACTGTGTCTAAGGACGGTCTCACGCTGTGCTTCACATAGCGCAGGTTTGATGAGAGCCTCAGGCATTTCGAGGGACAGCGCTTAACTTCTACTGATGGAAAATAATTTATGCTCCAAAGGCGACCGGAGCACGCTTTTGCTCACGACAGACACCAGCTCCTTGGCCAGCCCCTGAAACCTCAGTAGGAGAAGGGGAGCAGGTGCGAGCAGCCACTGCCCATGGCATCTCCTTTAAGCCGAGCACTTGACTAACGCAGCGCAGGGCCTCTCTCCACGCGCCCTCAGCGAACCTTCAGGGGTTCGGAGCTGCCCGGACCAAGGCAATCCACAGGGCAGGGTTTTATAGTGACTTTTTTTTTTTTAAAAAAAACTTGATCTTTTTTCCTACTGTATTTCAGTGTGATGTCATGAGACGCCATGTTGATAAATGTTTTTGTTTTGTAAATATCACCAATGGCAACTCATCACCTGTCTTTTGAAACAGACCTTCAACAAGCTCGTGGGAAGATTCAGCCAATCGGTCTTTCATTTGAATCAAACACAAATACTCTCGGCCACCATGGAAGGGAAGCTGGTTGTCTGGGCCATCTACCGCCCCCCGCCCTCGGCCACCCCCGCCGCAGGCACCCCCAGCATCAAACCGTGTAAGCTGGTCCATTTGCAGAAAGAAGGTATCACCGTGCTGACCACAGTCGATAGGTAATTAACGCGAATAAAGTGTAGCTGCAGATGACGATGAAAGTGCCGTAGCGCCTCTGGGCGCACACAGGTGTTTTGTAAGCGCACAGGCTGTTTCTAGCGAGCTGGAGACGCCTCTGAGGAAAAGAGCTCAGAGCTAGGGGTGGGGGTGCTTCTGTTTACGTTCTGATTTGTACTGAATGGCTCGGGTGTGGTTTGTTTTTCATCATTTGCTTGTGTGACTTAAAAAAATCCCTTTGTGTTGGTGAAACAGTCACTGGTATTTTCCTTCTGTGCTAATGAGACTTATTTTTCATCCTAAATTGTATATACGCTAAATTTTAGAAAATGGCATGAAGACCTATGGTGTTTTCTCGATTGCAAATAACATTTACCTGCTGTGAAAAGGTGAGGTCCAGCAAAGCTTTGGCAAGTCCACGAACTCTTGTTGGATGTGGAGAGGGGATCCTTCAAAGCCTCGGGTAGAAAGAAACTCAGGTTCCAGATGCACCCCTTCTTTTGAGCGATGCTGGGAGAGGGCCTTACTTAACTTTCTGGAAGTCCATTTTTCCTCACGTAAAACGGGCCTAACAGCGCTCTCCACCCCGGAGTGAGTAGATGAGGATTTAGTGAAACAGGGCTTGTGAAACTCCCGAAACATGGTGACCCGAGACGAGCAGCCTGGGGGTCTTAGTAACAGCTTTTTGCTCAGTTCCTGGGATGCAACTTAGTCCCCGGTATGAATCTTGGTTCATGTTAGATCATGTGCCACCCTGAGGCAGACTGGACCTGGGGGGGCCCATGGCTACTGATCCTTTCTTACTCCTTGGCATGCAACTACACGCCTCACCTCTCGGTATGTAGCCACGTGACATCTGACCATGTACAGCTGCCGGTGCAAACCCACCCGGAACCTTGTAGAAACTAAGAGTGTATGTAGGCCCCGACTTCCTACAGACTCTGCCTTGGGATGTGAATCCGCTGAGTCAGCACCGGTGCGTTAGACCTGCTTCTTGTTAGCCCTGGTGCCCACGTTTCCTCTGTGCCATATGACACTCTCAGCATGGTTCTAGGGAAGTAGCAGTCCTTACTAGCGTGTGAGGGAAGTTTGGGAAAGCAGCAGAGAACTTGCCTCAGGACGAGACGTTGGTTGACTGTGCTGTGCCGGTTGCTTTCCTGCTCCTAGAAGTGCAGGGAGCAGTGCGGCCCTCGAATGTGCTTGCAGAAGAAATGCAAATTGTCATCCTCACTCAGGGGTGGAAGAGACAGCAGTAGAGTAGCCATTGATGCATTGATGATGACATCAAGTTTTAATTAGTTGGTGCTTAGGACCCGGTGAGGACCTGGTTCTTCTCTCTTCAGGTTAAGTAAAACCCTCCCAGACCAGGGAGCCCAAGACCAAGGTCTCTGAAAACATTTGGCCGGCTTTGCCGTTTCTGTCCAGCAGAGGGCGGTGGGAGATGGTCTAGCCAGGACTGCCCGCCTGCCTGGCTGGTTAATTAGAGAGAGGATTCATCCACCACCTCCCCCAGGATTGGAATTATGTCAGGGTCTTTTTTTTTTTTTAATGCCAATTTGGGATGTATCAGGCGACTGGAAATAAAAGCCATTTTGTCACGTGGTTCTGCCTTTGGCTGTGATGACCAGCAGGGTTTTATGATCCTCTAACAGCACCGCCTTCCTGTAGAGTGACTTGTCCCCCACTGCCAGCCCGGGGGTTTTCGGGACTGAGCTGTCATCTGCAGCAAGGATGTCGATCACTGCCCAAGGCCACTGCAGGTGGCTGACCCTGGAGGGCAGTGTCAAGGAGGGCAGAGAGCCTGGGCCTTGTGTCCACGCCCTGGATCCCCTGCATGGTCCTGCCCTGTGGCCCTGAGACGGTGGCTTGGGATAAGTGTATCCCATGCAAGACTTGGGATGTACTTACACGAAGCGATTACTCATTCCTTATCTGAAATTCGAAATTAAGTGGATTTTCATTTGCTAAATCTGGCAAACCCAACCCCTTGGGCGAATTTCTTATCTCCTCTGAGGCTTGGCTTCGGTAGGACTTTCACTATTACCTAACAAGCGGGTGCTATTGTCCATTGCAGCTACATTGTCACGGGCGACATCAAGGGTACCATTAAGTTCTACGACCACACCCTGTCCATCGTTAACTGGTACAGCCAGTTCAAGCTGAGCCCCATCAAAACCCTGTCCTTTTCAAAGAGGCCTGCCAAGCCCCCCACTGAAAAGTCCAACTATCCTCCAGACTGCACTTTGAAAGGTGACCGTTTCATCATCAGGTAAGTGGTTAGTGGACCTGGCCCCTGCGCGGTTGAGAGGGGCTGATGTCTTCTTTCAGCCCGCGCCTGGGGCATGGAACAGGCAGCGCTGGCTCCCTAGCCAGCCCTGTACCTGGTTTTGCATGGAACTCCTTGGCTGTTCATAATGGCTATTTAATGATTTGGTTTAAATGAAACATTATTTCCACGTTAAGAATCTGGAGGGGCAGGAGACAGCTGAGCCCTGAGCTCTCCCCTCTGCTGCAGCAGAATCCTCCCTAGGTAGCTGGGGCTCTTTCTCCCTGGCCCAGTCTGTCCCAGCCACTGTGGTTAAAGGCATTCGATAATTAATAGCCATAACATTTCGAGACTGAATTATCTGTGAGCCTGCTTAATTACCCTTGCAGTCTTTGCAGGCACATCTGTATGTGTGCACCAAACTCCATATTTGCATACACAAATGAATATTTGCATGCACAGATTAGCTAATTGTACAACTGACTGTCCATCTGCATACTTAATGACTCAATTTACATGTAGAAATGTGGGCTTTTTCACTTGCAAATGGAGGCTGTGGGGTATGGGTGGTATATTTTCGGAGACATTGGGTTAATAGTGTCAGTAAATGACAGAAGACAGAGGCGGTTCGTGCGCGATTGCCAGCAGAGTAGCTGGCTCGCCCCCTTCCCTGCAGACGCTGACACCGCCGGGTCTCCCCTCGGCTCCAGGAACCTGATCATTGGGACGACGGATGCGACCGTGTACCACTTAACAGCAGATGGGTCCAAGCTGGAGAAGCTGTTTGTCGAGCCCAAGGATGCCATTTGTGCCATCTCCTGCCACCCGTATCAACCCTTCCTCGCCGTTGGGAGTTTCTGTGGCATGATCAAAGTGTGGGATTATGAAAAGAAAAAGTACCTTTTCAGCAGGGTGTTTGAGAGGAGGCTTGGCGTCCAGAGCCTGACCTACAACCCTGAAGGTATTTCCATTTGATGGGCCCATCTTGGTGCCAAGAGGGAAGCCGACCAGCAGGCGCCGTGGTCTTGGCTGTCCCTGAGGCTCCCGGAAGTTTCCCTTCCCTGCCGTGCCCTCTGGGCCAGCACCAGCAGCCAGGGGGGCTTGCTCTCAGTGCCATTTCTTCTCCCATCTTGTCGTGGTTGTGGCCGTGTCCACAGACCTAGAACAAGGCCGGGCAGACAGTGGAAGTTTCTCGAAAGATAGCAGTCCTTTCCAGCCTTGTTCTTGGCTTGTGATTGCAGGCGCCCTTCTCGGGGTTGGCTTCACAGAGGGGACTGTTTCCATTCTCGATGCAATGTCCTTAGAAAACAGCATTCCAGAGCCTTTCAAATATTCCAGAACCAGCGTGACCCACATCAGCTTCTCCCATGACTCCCAGTACATGGCGACGGCTGTAAGTGTCCCGCGGATGGATGTCCAGGCTCAGTGACCTGGTCAGCCCTGGGGGGAGGCCTGCTCTGGACACGGGCCTTCCGCAGAGAAAGGGGATGAAGAAAATGCTCTGATGTTGTGCTGAGGGGTGTGCGACTCTGTGGCCCTACTAAGAGCCGCTGAATTGTAATTAGCTGGGCGGGTTGTGCGGCATGTGGATAAAGGCCAAGAAAGCCGTGCTAAAAGGAGGAAGGACCAGGAGGTGAAAGGCTCCAGGCAAATGATGTCCTTAGACGCCTCCCCTCTCCTGCCTGCCAGTTCTGGGCTGAGCTGTCCCTCTGGCGGCTCCTGTCTCCGCGGGGGCTCGTTCTGTCCTCCCTGCCGCTTCCTGTCTCTCCGCAGACTCAGGCTGGTCTCACCTGCTCTCCCACCTGTTCTGCTCTCAGCCCTCTTGCTTTTATGGAGGAAAAAACCTCACACTTTTTAAATTTTATGTAGCAAGACAAAGAGACAGGAGGAGGATGAAGGTCAGCAGAGGCAGGGTTTAGGGCGTCAGCAGAGCAGGGGCGAGACGGGGACAGGAGAATAAGAAATACTTTCCCCCGACCCCGCACCTTTGAGTGCTGTCTGCTTCTAACCTTCATTTTCTCATCTGTAAAATGGGTGCATTTTACCGCCTTGGTAGACTGAGATTTCTTTTTGGGTAAATATTCTAAAAGCAAAATTGCATCATGATGAGTCTTAAGTCACAGAACTTTAAAAGGAACAACTGCTGCTCTTTGGCTCCTATTCAGGATGTAAGTTTCACTGTGGCCGTTTACAAGGTGGTGGTCAAAAAGGGGCAGAGAGTCTGGGAGTATCTGGCAAGACTTTGTTCTCATCGCAAAAGCATCCGCAGCCTCCTGTTTGGGGTTCACCTGGACAGCAACGACTCCAGGCTGCTGAGCCTGGGGAGGGACAGACTGTTGGTAAGCTGCCCCGCGGCAGCCCCCCCACTGCCCCCTGCTCCCCACCCCCACCCCCGCCTGGTCACCCGGACCGCATCTGTCCCATTCTTGTTAAATCCCGGGCCTCTGGCTTGGAACTGGACCCACGGTGTGTGAGTGTGTGTGTGAGTGTGTGAGAGTGTGTGTGTATGTGTGTGTTGGAAAAAATGAAATCACATAAATCTCCCTGAATGGGCATTTTGCTTTAACGTGGCTGTGACGCCGCACAGGGACTCACACCCGGAATGAGGAAGGTTCTGGGGGGCGGCAGAAACAGCAAGGGGAGGTGTTCCCGTCAGCACAGAAAACTCGGCCGCCCTCGCCTTTAGAGAGGTGGGCCTCACGGACCCTGTCTTTGTGTTTGGGGTCAGGGCCAGGCTGCTTCCGAGGGTGTGAGGGCAGGCGAGGGAGAGACAGTGGCCAGTGGGGTGGTACAGCCCGGTCTGGGTTCCCTGTCCACCCAAACCTCCTCCCTCCCCTCCGCTTCCTTGCTCCATCCGTCCGCCCATCTACCCGTCCATCCATCCACCCACCCTGGTCTGTCAGCAAAACCTACCTGGGGGTGAAACTCAGCAGGCTGCTAAATTATGACGGTCAAGTGCTGAGCTTTTGACATGAGTGCGTGCTCCCCTTGAAGCGTTCCCAGCAAGCGGGTAAGTGAAGCCAGGACCATAACTGCAAGAGTTCAGGGTCTGGAGTCAGTTGGCCCCACACTGGAATTCCCACTCAGCCTCTTCTTAGCTGTGTGACCTTGAGCAAACCGGTGAAACTCTCTGAGCATCTGTCTCCTCGTCTATAAAATAGGTGCAGCAACGCAATTTTCAGGTGACTCATGAAGATTAAATGGGGTGTGTGTTTGTTTATTTGAAGTAACAGTGGTTTACAAAGCTGTGTATGTTTTGGGAGTACAAGTCCACCACTGACGTACCAACAGTCCAACACCACAGCCCGCTGGGCCCCTCTACGTTTCCTCCCACCCTCCCGCCCTCTCTGGAAGCTTCAGTTCTGCAGTCAGAATCCAACGAATTGTTTTGTTTGGTTTTATTTCCCTTGCTTTCTCTTACACTCCGCCCATGCGTGACATCATCTGGCATTTATCTTTCTCCTTCTGACTTATTAGCTTAGCATAATCCCCTCCAGTTCCATCCATATTATTGCAAATAGTAAAATTTCATCCTCTTTGTTAATTGCTGGGTAGTATTCCACTGCATGTGTGTGAATACCGCATCTTCACCCGCTCGTCTGTAGTTCGCCACTTCAGTTGCTTCCATGACTTGACTATTGTAAACAGTACTACGGTGAAAGGCAGGCGTGTATATATCCTTCCGTATGGTGTTTCTATATTCTTCTATAGACATTTAGGAGTGGAATTGCTGTCTTGTACGGTAGATCCACTCTTAATGTTTTGAGAAGCCTCCTACTGTTCTCGGGGGTGGGGGGCGGTGGGGGGCACTTACGTTCCCACCGGCCGTGCACAAGAGCTCAATTTCTCCCACCCACATCAACACTTGTTGTTTCTGGTCTTTTCATGGTAGGCCGTTCTCAGAGGCGGGAGGTGGTATCTCACTGCGGTTTTGATTTGCATTTCCCTGGTAATATGTGATGGTTTTTTCATGTGCCTGCTGGTCATCCATGCGTCTTCTTTGGTGAAATGTCCAATCAGATCTTTAATTGGGTTTTTGTTTTCTTGTTGTTGAGTTGTATGAATTTTTTTCTATTCCTTGGTTATTAGTCCCTTGTCAGCTGGATGATGTGCAAATAGTTTCCCCCACTCAGGAGGATATCTTTTTGTTTGATGATAGTTTCTTTCAGCATGTAATGGCCTTTGAGTTCGCTGTCTCTTTTTGCCTTTGCTCCCCTTGCAGTGGTACCCCAGTCCCCCCAAACATCCCTGAGATCCGTGTCATGGAGTGTATTGCCTATATTTTCTTCAATGTATTTTATGGTTTCATGTCTTACATCCAAGTCTTTAATCCATTTTGAATTAGTTTTTGTATGCAATGGGAGATGATAGCTTAGTTTCTTTCTTTTTGGCTGTCCAATTTTCCCAACACCATTTGCTAGAGAGACTTTTCTTTCTCCTTTGTATGCTCTTGGCTCCTTTGTTGTACGTTAACTTTCACTAAGTGTGGGTTTACTTCTGGGCTCTCAGTTCTAGTCCATTGATTTGTCCATCTCTTTTTATTCTAATACCATACAGTTATGATTACTGTAGCTTTGTAGTATAGTTTGAAATCAGGGCATGTACTATTTCCTTTATTCTTTTTTCTCAGGATTGCTTTGACTGTTCAGGGTTTTTTGTGATTCCGTACAAATTTCAGTAATGTTGATTTCCAGTAGTATGCTGTAGGAATTTTGATAGAGATTGAATTAAATTTGTATATTGTGTTGGGTAGGGTGGCCATTTTAACAATGTTAATTCTTCCAATCCAGAGGCAGGGAATATATTTCCATGTGTGTCTACTATTTCTTTTAACAGTGTCTTACAGTTTTTATTGTACAGGTTTTTCTGTGCCACAGAAAGTTGTTAAGTTTATTTCTAGGTACTTCCCCCCCTCCTTTTTAAAAAAAATTTTTGCATAGAAGAACTGGGGTATGGACCATAGGTGCAGGGGGTTGAGATGATTCACCAGAGGCAGAGTAGGGAGCAGAACAGGCAGATTTACTGAAATCCACTGCTGAGGGGAGCAGCAGGTGAGACAGGAGAGGTCTGCGGTGCCATATGTGGGTCAGGTCCCTGGTTGGGCATAGAACTCAGGCCTTAGCGGTGACAGGCTGATACTCAACCCTTAGGCCGCCAGGGAGGCCCCTCTTTGTCTTCTATTTTATTGTTTGTATGTTAAATGCAACAGACTTTTTGTATATTGATTTTGTAGGCTGCCACTTTCCTGTGCTGAATGACTAAAAGTTTTTTCTCCCAATACATTTGGGTTTATCCCTATAACCTTATACTGTGCTGTTAGAATTTTTTCTCAGTAATGAAATAGCTTTTTAGTGGAGTCTTTGGGTTTTCTGTGTCTATTATGTCATCTGCAAATAGTAATGATTTTACTTCTTTTCTAATCTGGATTCCTTTGATTTCCTTGCCTTGCCTAATTGCTCTGGCTAGCACTTCTAATACTGTGTTGAATGACAGTGGTGAGAGAGGACAATGTTGTCTTATTCCTGATCTTCGAGGAGAAGCTTTTGGTTTTCCACCATTGACTCCCGTTAGCTGTCGATCTGGCACACATGGCCTTAAATGGTGCGAGGATTTTTGAGCCCTGGGCTCCTTGCCTTGCTCATAATGAGAACTCCGTGATGGTGGTTTATTAGGGTTAGGGCCCAGACAAGTCTTTTCTTCGAAGGCTGGGTGTTGTCCCAAGAATAGCTGCTGACTGACGTCATTCAGCTCCATCCTCACTCGTGTCCATCTGGGCTCTCCTGCAGATCGAGTATAACCTTTCCAAGAGCTGCAAAGACCACCTGGAAGTCCTGGACATCCACCGAACCGACCAGGGCAACTACCCCACCTGCATGACCTGGTACCCTCCGCTCACCAAGGAACTCTTCCTGCTCATTTGCAACAGCGGCTACAAAGTGAAACTTTTCAACTCTACCACCAAAATGTGCAGGTAAGCACCCGGACATTCCCACGAACTTGGAGCTGGGCGTGTGAATCAAGTCCAACTGAAGGGCCTGTGAGGACCTTGCTATCAGGCTGGTGTGGCTGGAAAGAGCAGTGAGGAACAGGAAATGAGCGCTTCCTCAACCCCGCCTGGGACAGGGAAAGCAGAACCTTCAGTAGAACTGGCTCGGGGCTTGAGGAAGATCAATTTTGGGAACTGTAAACTAGGTACAAAAAACAAAAGAGCAGATTTTTTTTTTTAAACAGTTCTTCCCAGAAGGGCACCAGGAAAAATGACTGAGAAATGTTGTGTTATCTGACAGGCACGGGAGAGAAATTCTGCACAATTGTTTATTTTTTTTTAAGATTTATTTTTATTTATTTATGCATAAAAGAGCTGGGGTACAGGCCAGAGATGTGGAGGGTGAGAGGATTCACCAGAGACTGAGTGGGGAGCAGAACAGGCAGATCTACTGAAACCCACTGCTGAGGGGAGCAGCGGAGAGACAGGAGAGGTCTGCTGCGCCATGTGGGTATCTCCCTGGCTGGGGATCGAACTCAGGCAGCAGCAGCTGGTGATACAGCTCCATAGCGTTGAGACTTTAACTCCTGCACCAGGGGAGCCCCCATGAAGCATTTTTAAGTTATAGGAATAACAAAGCATTGAAACCACAATTTAACCGGGAAGGTACAGTTTCTTCATGACAAATCCAAAAGGATTTTGAAATGGGCTCATTAAAAGCATTGAAAATAACATGAAGGGACAACTCACAGGAGAAGGCCTGTAAACCTCTGAGCAGAGGCTCACAGTAGAGCAGAGACGCAGAGAGGAGCAGAGATAACGGTGATGGGTCACCCGGCACTGGCAGGCGTGTGAGGGGACAGGCACCTTCCCCTGGACGGCGATGTGTGGGCAACTTGCAGGAAGAGTGCTTTGTCACCCTCTCTTGCACTTACCATGCAGCCCCCAGATGTGCCCACACAGTATGCCAGGCCTAAGTAAAAGGATAGCTGGTTTGAAAATATTTTTCAAAAATGGAAACAAGCCAAGGGCCCGTTAATAGGGGATTAGCGAAATGATGGCTCATCCGGACTCTGAAAGCCAGTGCAGATTTTAGGAAAGAAAAGAGAGCAGCTGACCCCCTGCATGGAGATATTTCATGTATATCTGCGTGGATGTGGAACATCGCCAAGACAGAATATGAGATCATGTACATTGCCCAATAAGCGCAAATATATTTTCATATAAAATTATATTCAGGGCCTCCCCTGGTGGCACAGGCGGTTGAGCACCGCGCTGTGAAGCGGTCCACAGCCTATGCAGCGCCAGTTCGATCCGGGCTGGCCAGCGAGGGTCCCACATGGCTAGCAGACCTCTCCTGTCTCGCCCGCTGCTCCCCTCAGCAGTGTATTTCTTCAGTCTGCCTGTTCTGCTCCCCACTCTGTCTCCGGTGAATCCTCTCACCCTCCCGCAAATATGTATAAATAAATAAATAAATCTTTAATTAATCTTGTATAAATAAAAAATAAATAAATCTTTAATAAAAAAAAAAGAAGAAGAAAGCTGTTGTGGGTCTCTGAAGGTGGAGGCCTCCAGCAGCCAACCTCAAAGAAAAAATAAAATTATATTCACATAACTTATGTTTTCACCTGAAGCCATTGCATATAGATTAGAGTATATGCAAAGGGATTCTCCAGTCATATCCCTACTCCTGGTGACTGAGGATGAAGGCGCCACCCCATAGCACTATGGGTGGGCTTTCTGCTTCATGTGAAATAAGAACACAAAGTGGCGAGGGCCCTGCAGTCAGAGGCCCCGACTCTCCTGGGAGACCCGGCTCTGGCCTTCCGGTCACGTCTGCTCCCCTCCCCTCCTCCCCCACCCATCAGATTCCTCATCAGCACCGCAGAGTGAGTCCAAGAAGCCTGACCCCACAGGCACGGGCCCGTGACCCTGGTTCCCAGAGCGTTCTGGGGACGTCAGCCTGTACTTTGCCTGGAATCCAAAAGACTCGTCTAGTTCTTGGCCCACCATTGGGTTTGGGGTGTTTTCTTACATCCTGCCAACATGTGTCACTTTCCCTGCAGCATCTTTCTTGCCCCAGGTTGGGGTGCACACACACACGTTGGGGCACATCCCCCTCCGCCGGCTGTCCAGCGCGAGTGGCAGAGCCGGGGCCTGGGGGCGCTCGCTCTCCCAGTCAGTTCCCGGGGCACCTGGTGCAGGGGCTGCCCCCAGATGCCGTGAGCCGAGCGCGCTGGAGATAGTTCCCCCACAGGAGGTTCAGAATTCAAACCCCTTGGGTAGGGGAAGGGCAGCTGGTCCTGAGCCCTGAGCTGGAATGTGTGGGCTTTGAAAGTTGTTTCTTTTATTTTTTCCTCTTGTGCAGAAAGACACTTCTTGGGCCAGTTTTTGGTTCTCCCATGGAGCAGATGCAGGTCCTCCCGGTGAGAAGCACCCTCGAGCTGCAGAAACGCTACCTGGTGTTCATCAACCGAGACAAGGTAGGGGCGGCCCCACGGGGAGAGGCCAGGGCGGAGGCCTCCCGGTCAGGCCAGCGCTCCCACCTGTCAGCTTTTCTGCTCAGGTCCTGACGAGGGCGAGCGGACTCCCGGAGGCGCTGCCCGGCCGCTCCTTCCTGTACAGCCCCTCCGGGCTTTTCCTTCCCGATGTGGTCGCACGGGACAGCCCTCCAAAGACGCTCAAGTCAGTTACCCTTAGTCGTACATGTAGTGAGTAACTTCTGTCGGAAAGCGCGAAATCTTAGGATAGCAGAATTTTCTGGAAAGCCTTGGGCCCCCGTCCACAGATGGAGGAACACTTCCCTTCTGTGTCCCTGCTAGACACCCGGTGTGTCTCTCCCCAGGGGCCACCCTGCCCGCGCCAACCCCAGCCACGGGGAAGGCGGCCTTGGCGCACGGGGAACGTTCCAGACACAGAGGCCCTTCCAGCGAACAGTCCTGGGGTCAGCCCAGGCGCGGGGGTGGGCCACCCTCCTGGGGCCCATCGTCGGAGTCTAAATATTCGATTTCATGTTCCTTTCAGGTCGGACTCCAGATCCTACCCGTGGACGGGAACCCACACAAGACAACTGCGATTATTTGTCACCCGAGCGGGGTGTCTGGGATGGCCCTGTCCTACGACGGCAGCTGCGCTTTCACCGCAGGCGGCCAGGACCACTCGGTGGTCCAGTGGGTGATCAACTTAAGGTAGGAGGGGCTCACCCCGCCGCGGCTGCTGGCCTGTGCTCGGCCGCGGGCGGGTACAAGGGACGCGTCCAGGGTCCCTGCTGCGTCCTGCCAGGCCATGCACATTCCCGGGCAGATAAAGATTCCTTTTCAGTCCCAGGGCCCTGCCGGCCCGCCTTGGCTCCTTAGACCACCTCTCACTCTGCCATCTGCTCAAAGGGGCAAGCCCAGCTCTCCGCAGTGCGTGTCACAACAACAGTGAGAGTTTTATTTGAAATACGTATTTTCAGTCTGCAATTCTCGACGCCTCCCACGCCTGCCCCCAGGTGAGCTCCCCCACTGCGGTGAAGCCGGGGAACCCCGTGGTCGAGCGGCACACAGAACATGGACTTGGAGGTCAAGGAGACATGGGCTCAAGCCTGCGACCTCCTGTCTGCCGGCTGTGGGGCCTCCGTTAAAACCCTGCATCTCTGGCCTTTACGTTCCTCATCTGTGAAATGAGGGCACAGGGGTGAGACTCGGGACTTTCACGGGGTCCTTGTAAGGACCAGGCAGGTTAGTGGGTGTAAATTGCCCAGCCCGGAGCTAAGGACTCAGTAAGTTAACAGTTTCCTTTTCCGCCATATAAAGTCCTTTGCTTATGAGCTCAGGATTTTTCTTAGTGACGCTGGGGCCTGGAAACCCTCTTGTCTTCCCCATCTCGTCAGCTGCCCTAGGCAGAGCCAGTTCCACCCCTGGCCGGGGCCAGCCCCCGCCTCTCAGATGGACCCCCGAGGGCCGGAGAGGAGATGTGGGACTCCAGGCCCTTCTATACTAAGGGCCACCACTGTTGTCGCTCCTGGTGATGGCGCCCCCTCTGCCTGCCGGCTGTTCGTGTTTCTTTGAGGCAGTTGTGGAAGCTTCTCCCCCTGACCCGGGGAAACCACGACAGCCAGGTCACCTGCGTGGGCGCCTGTGCCTTCACCGGCGAGAGCAGAGGGGGGCCTCTGGGGGTTCGGAATCTGGAGGTGAGTGGTCCCAGAGCATGTCCTTGGAAGGAGCTGCTGGATTCCTTGACACTTAGCCTGTCCCCTGGAGCCGAGGGGCGGGGACACCCCGGCGGGAGACCGGTCCTCCCTTTGACGTTCTGGTCCTCTTCTTATCTCGGGATCTGGACCGGGAGAGATGGAAAAGACAAATGTGCCTGCTTTCCAGTGGCTCGCCTGTGCCTGGCCAGAGTCCAGGCTTCCGAGAATTTCAATTTAATCTGTTGTGGGGACAAAGGATCATTATAAGCTCATTAGCACTTCATTGCTGCTTCTGGTGTCTTAATATGTTCGGCACTTCGCTAATGGAAAGAAATGCAAAACCCTAAATAAGCACACAAACAAAATTCCTAGTAGAGCTACTGACGGAGAGTTGTTGGGTGGAATAAGGGTGATAAACCCTCTCACGGCCCAATTATTTTAATCTGTGCCCCCCCACCCCCCGCCGGAACACCGCATCCCCAGGCTGCTGCTTTCCCGGGAAGCCCGCCCTCACCTTTACCCCAGAGTCTCCAGCGTGTCCTCGTGTCCTCGCCTCCCCCCGCGTTTCCTCTCCTTGTCTGGCACCCCATTGCTTTCCTGTCCTGCCACTCTGCTCACATAAGAGCAGAAAGACCCGGATTCAAACCCCACCTTCCCACCCGCTTGCCCCCACTATCAGTTTCTCCATCTGATAAGTGGGTGTCACCACCCAGCTCAGAGTCATCCCGAAGGCAGGGCAGCCCTCCCCCGCCCTCCCCGGCAGGGCCCTGGGCGCCCGCTGCTTCTCTGCTTTGGCTCACTCACAGAACCTGGGGTTCTGTGTGTTTTTGTGGGCACAGAGTAGCTGCCCTGAACGCGCCTCCCTTCTCCGTGCTGCCACTGACCTTGTTTTTTGTTGCTGTTGCAAATATTAGAAGCCTGACTTAGGTAAACAGGGGAGCGGGCGAGAAGGCCCCGGGGCTGGGTCCACCCTGGAGTGGGCCCAGGGTCCACTCCAGCCACGCCCCGGCCTGCGCTCTGCTGGCCTCTGCCCGTGGCTCCCTCCTCTGTAGAACGGGGCTTCTTCCCTCCATGGGATCACGGCCGCCGATGGTCCCCAAAACTCACTGACTGTTGTTCTCACCAGAGAGTGGTCTCTGCCCAGCTCTGGCTGACAAACCCTGACCCAGTCCCTCTGGCTCCTCTGGGCTCAACAGACAGTGGACAGGAAGCAGGGACGGGATACAGTCCTGACTTGGAGCCCTGGCCCCTTGAACCCCAGCTCCTGCAGCCCCCTCCCCCGGGCATTCCTGGGGTGACAGACTCCTCCTTGTCACCCCTGGCCTTTACCTGGCCCTGCTCCAGAGATCTGTGCTAAGCGTGGCCTCACTCCCCAGTAGCTGCAGGGCCTGGGCCTGGGCCAGGGACACAGGACACAGGAAGGGCACGGGCTCGGGGGGACACCTGCCTGGATGGCCTGATGTGGCAGCCAAGACCATAGGTGCCCCCGATCCTACAGACTGTCCCCCGGCTGCTGGTGGGATGTGCAGGCCTCAGCAGGAGGACTGAGGTCAAACAGTCTGGTATGGAGGGGAGATGTGGCTTTTAGAATCAAGAACCAGGGCCTCCCTGGTGGCACAAGGGGTTAAGATGCAACCTATGAAGCAATCCACAGCCACTGCAGCACGAGTTTGATCCCCGGCCAGGGAGCTACCCACAGGCGCGGCAGACCTCTCCTGACTCGCCCGCTGCTCCCCTCAGCAGTGTGTTTCAGTCCATCTGCCTGTTCTGTTCCCCGCTCTGTCTCTGGTGAATCCTCTCACCCCCCGCACCTCTGGCCTGTACCCCAGTTCTTGCATAAATAAATAAATAAATCTCTAAAAAAAAAAAAAAAAAGAATAGAGAACCAGTTTCTGGTACGGCCCTGCCTCTTGCTGGCTGCTTGAGCTTGGAGAGCTCTACAGTCTCATTTCGCTCCTCTGTAAAATGGGAGTCATACAGATCGTGCCTCCCTGGCAAAGTATTTTGAGCACTAGAGGGAATGTCTATAAAAGTGCTTAATGATTCCAGTGCTGGCTTAACAAGTAAGTGTTAACTGTTACGATAGTTACATTTCTGTGTATTTTTCGGCTGCGATGTAGAAATAAAATTGTTGAAGGAAAAATGGAAGAAAGGAGGACCAAAGGTGGTTACAAGGCTGGCTCTTCTAAGAGAGGTGTCGCGGGTATCAGCCCCAGCACCCCCCTGGGGACCGCCCTGCCCCCTCACGCGGGCCTCCCTGCCAGCCGGCGCCAGGGCTCTCTGCTTGGCCGGAAGCCGGACCCACCACACACCTGTGAGGCCAGGATGTGGCGCCCCCTCTTCCCATCCGGAGACTGGGGCAAGTGGGGGGGCTGGGGTTCACCTAGGGTCTCTCTGAGTCCACCCCACACCTCGGTAGACATGACGGGGAGACACGGAGGGCTTGTGCCGTGTCCTGCATGTGCTCTCAGTTTTCCAGTTCTCACAGCAGCCCCGAGCTGCAGGCCTGGGACTCTTTCCACTTTACACACCAGGAGGCTGAGGCCCAGACCCAGGGAGGCTGAGTTCCTCGCCTGCCATCTCTCGCAAGCGGGAGAGCCAGCACCTGCACCCCAGATTCTGGATACCCACCTGCGTGTCGGCTTGGCCTACGCCAGGGTGTGTTTGAATTACCCCACAGAGAGGCTAAATGGCCTGGTTAGCAGAAACCCAGTTCGGGGATTATTATAGTGACTTCATAGTATTAGCATGTTGTGTGAGGCAGACTTGGTCTCCTACAGAAGTAGGTTTTCTTACATTCAAAGGGCCTATTTCTGGAAAACCTGACCCGTGGTGGAGCAGAGGGTTATTTTTATCTGACTGGCTTGGGTCCCTAGCGGCCTCCAGGGCTCTGTGGAAGCAGTGAGGGCTGGCAGCGTGCCTGCACATGCCCGTCCTTTGGCTCTGGTCACCTCGGATCTGAAGTTACCGGAAAGCCGCCCTGCTGGGGAAGAGTGTGGTGTGGGCGCCCAGGCCCCTCGCCCCCAAGGAGCGAGTGCAGCTCCCCTCACCAGTGCAGACAGACGGCCCTGCGGTCACACGGGCGGCGCTCTGTCCCGCCGGCTCCACACTATTCAGCTTCGTTGGTGGGGGTGGGGGGCGGTTCTCAACAAGTTTGCAGCGGCCCTAATTGCCTCTGTGCCATTGGCGCCTTCAGCGGCCGCTGGGCCTGCGTCGTCGCTGCCGGCGGCGAGTCGCCTGGGTCTTTCTAACCCCACTGCCTCTCTTACTGTTCCAGTGCCCTGGAGGCAGCCGTGTCCCTGGGGGGCGAAGACTTGACCCCCTTCTACGGTCTGGTGTCTGGTGGCAGGGAAGGAAAATTCTACCGGGTAACTGTCCTCAGAGTCAACACTGGTGGTGACATCTAGTCACCGCTAAGAACTAAGGTGCCCAGGGTCAGCCCCCTTGCTCCACCCCTCCCCCACGGCTGTCTTCTCCTCCCCCCCCCCCCAACGCATACTTTCTAGATTATATCCTTGCAGTTTCAGCGGGTGCTTCGGCGGTAAGCCGAGATATGTTTCCACTTGATTTCCACGCAGGAGCTGGAGGACTATTTTTACTACTCTCAGCTCCGTAGTCAAGGCATCGACACGATGGAGACCAGGGAGGTGTCAGAGCACATTTGCCTGTCGGAGCTTCCTTTCGTCATGAGGGCCATTGGCTTTTACCCCTCGGAAGAGAAGGTAGGGAGCAGGGATGAACAGCCAGGGGATTTGTTATTTTTAAAAAACGACCTCTGGGAACGATCATTATAGGTCAAAACAGAAGCTGACTTAGCATCAAGACATCCTGCTCAGCCGGGCTGGAGGTAGGTAAAGCGTGGCTTTTGGCATTGGACACCCTGGCCCTCGATGCTAAGGACCAGCCCTTGGGAATTCAGGAAGGCCAGGCCTGCGAAGCCCTGACACACAGGCAGAACTCAGCACCAGCTGGTTGCCATCAACCTGCTTAGCATGGTGGGCTGCCTGGAGGAGGTGGCGCTTATCTGGGCTGGCAGATCTGGAGAGGCACTCAGTCCCTCCTCCTGCCCTCACCAAACTCCCCCAGCTGCAGGGACCCCCCACAGCGGCAGGCCAGGGAAAATCTTCCTTGGAGAACCTTCTTTAAAATGCAAGTTACTGGGCCTCCCCGGTGGCGGTGGCGCAGCGGTTGAGCGCTGGGTTGCGAAGCTGCCCGCAGCCTCTGAAGCGCCCGTTCGATCCCCGGCTGCTCCCCAGCCACTGGAGGAGGGTCCCGCATGGTGCGCAGACCTCTCCTGCCGCCGGCTGCTCCCCTCAGCAGTGTACTTTGTCAGTCTGCCTGTTCTGCTCCCCGCTCTGGCTCTGGTGAATTCTCTCACCCTCCTGCGCTTCTGACTGTACCCAGTGCTTGTATAAATTAATTAATTAATTTTAAAAAAAGTTAAAAAAAATGCAAGTTACTGGGCTTTCAGTCAGTTTCTGACCGAAAATGTTGACACATTCTCCTTGTAGAAAGTCTGGAAAAGATGCATGGGTGGAAAGAAGGGAATAATGACTTCGAACCCCCCACCCAGTCTACTCATTATTGCATTTCCTGGATTGTTTGTGTGCAGATACAAATTTGTAAAAACCAATTGGTAACGCTATTGCATACATTTTTTGATCCCTATTTTCACTTAATATTATGTCATGATCATTTTCCATTTTATTAGCGATTTCCTGAAAATGTGATTTTAAAGTTTATATCTTAATTTTATACCATTTCTGGGTTTAGAAAATAGAACTATAAAGAAAACAACGAATTACTCAGAGGTCATGGCCATTCATGCTTTGATGGGCCTTCTGTTGTTTTAGAAACAGATACGGCTTTTTAAACACAGAACAGTCACGGCGCAGTGTGAAGGCACTTACATCCAGATCTACACTGACATACGTGTTTGTGTGTATGTTTGGGTGTGTATGTACACCCAAACATACCTGTCCATGTGTGTAAATATATGTCTGTCTGTGCAGAGAGAGATATGGATGCTTAGCAATATCCCCAGCAGCTACTGCTTTGTGAGCCTCGTGGTAAAAATTCCTGGACAACATACTCCCCCCCTAGTTTTTTTTTTTTTTTTTTTAATATTTTTGCCTTTATGTCTGTTTTCCCGGTGTTTTGTTTTCTAAAGAGGCACTTTTTTTTTTTAAGATTTATTTATTTATTTATACATGCACTGGGTACAGTCAGAAGCGCGGGAGGGTGAGAGAATTCACCAGAGCCAGAGCGGAGAGTAAAACAGGCAGACTGACGAAGTACACTGCTGAGGGCAGCAGCGGGCGGCAGGAGAGGTCTGCGCGCCATGTGGGACCCTCCTCCGGTGGCCGGGGAGCAGCCGGGGATGGAACTGGCGCTGCAGAGGCTGTGGGCAGCTTCGCAACCCAGCGCTCAACCGCTGCGCCACCAGGGAGGCCCTCCCACTCCAGTTTTATTGAGATGTAGTTGACATAAAACACCGGGTAAGCATGAGGTATGTAAGCTCACGTGCTTGTTGTGTCTTTCTGTTTACTGAACAACGACGATCACAGTAAGGTTAGTTGACTCCTCCTTCACCTCTCTGGTTATAATTTCTGCCTGTGGAGAAAACTTTCAAAACTGTCTCTCTCAGCAACTTTCAATACACCATATGGTTTGTTAAGTATAGTCACCGCGGGGCACCCATATCCCCGGGATTGACTCATGTAACAAGTGAGAGTTTATATCCTTTGGTCTGTTTCTGCCACTCCCCCTACCCCCTCCAACTCCCTACCATGGGCAACCACCAGTCTGTTTTCTGTGTCCATGAGTTGTTGCAAACGGCAGGATTTCCTTCTTTTTTAAGGCTGAATAATATTCCACTGTATATATGTCATGCACTGGATAGATAGCAACACTTTGGTCCGTGATGGACCGAGCGTAGATGGTGGCCCCTGTACAGCCCCAGCTGCAGAGTCAGCTCTCCTGCCCGGGCACACTCTACGGTATGTTCACTCTCTGACGTCACACACCAGCCACCACCTGGCAACAAAGTTCTCAGAATGTGCCCCTGCCCCTCAGCGACACACAACGGTGTATACTGTTTTCTCCGTCCACTCATCTGTCCATGTTTCCCTATCCAGGCTGTTGTAGGTCACGCTGCAGTGATGATGGGGTGCAGACATCCCTTTGAGATAGTGATTTCACTTCCTTCGGGGACATACCCAGACGCGGGATTGCTGGATCCTTGTGGTTTTAATCTTCGGAGGCCCCTCCTTGCTGTTTCCTACACTGGCTGCCACAATTCACATTCCCCCCCAGTGCGCAGGCTTCCTTTCCCTCCACCACCCGCCTGCCCCGGTTATCTCTTGTCTTGTTGACAGCAGCCCTTCTCGCTGGAGTGCGGCGTATCTCACTGTGGTTTTGTTTGCATTTCCCTGATGACAAGGGATGTCGAGCATGTGTTCATGCACCTGTTGGTCACCTAAATGTTTTCTTTGGAAAAATATCTTCAGGTCTTCTGCCTGCCTTTCATTGGATTATTTGGTGGGGGTTGCTTGGCTTGTTGAGTTTATGGGCGCCTCATATATTTTGGCTGTTCATGCCTTATCAGATGTGCGGGTTGCAGTAATTTTCTCCCTCTCTTTAGGCTATGCATTAATCAGCCCATGTCCCAGGGGATGGCCACAGAGGTTGTCCGCAGTACTTTGGCTGTGAGAGATGGGGTGAGCGTGTTTGGCTCTGGCATGCTTCCCTGGTGGTTTTCCTGAGCCAGAGTGCTAGAGCTGGAGCTGCCGGGTCAGAGAACATGAACTTTGAGGTCCATTGTCAAACGGCTTCCCAAAAATGTAGCAATTTTGGTGGCCTCTCTAGTGAGCAAGGGGTTAAGTCTCAGCACTATGATGCTATCGCCAGCCACTGCAGCCTGAGTTCTATCCCCCACCAGGGATCTACCCATTGGCGCAGCAGACCTCTCCTGTCTCCCCACTGCTCCCCTCAGCAGTGTATTTCAGTAGATCTGCCTGTTCTGCTCCCCACTCTGTCTTTGGTGAATCCTCTCGTCCCCCACCCCCACACCTTTGGCCTACACCCCAGTCCTTGTAGACATAAATAAATAAATAAATAAAATCTTAAAAAAAATGTATTATTTTACCTGCCTACTGGCAGGTGTACCTAACCCCCAAGCCTAGCTCATAGGCTGTTCACAGTACTGATTTGACATTACTTGTATTTTGGTCCCAGGCTTTTCTCTTGGCTTCAGCAGCCTTTTCAAATCACCAGTTTTTGCACACCCCAAGTATGACTGGAAGGTGACTTATTCTCTAAATAGCATCTGGCAAAATAAGCTATTGGAGCCCCCGAATCATGGTAAGGCTTGACTGAGTACCTTAAAAACCCCAGGGGCCCTCTCATGCTCCTCCAGAGGGCTTGCAACCTGTGAGCACTTTGTAAAAGTGCTCCAAGCTGGCACATAACCCAAGGCTGCCCAGTCCCACTCTGTGCAGGGCTTTGCCTCTTATGCAGGGACGCTGCTGGGCAAAAAATGGAAGCAACTACCAAGAAAGTTTTTGTAACCCACACGAAAGCAGCACCCCCACCCCCACCCTCGGGGCAAACCTGGAGCGTGTGCTCAAAAGTCAGATTCCTGGGCCCCATCCCAGATCCAGCCCATCAGAGGAATCTTCAAGTCTGGAGCTTGGGGCGAGGGCCCCGTGCTGGGTCATCTAGGGTGGAGAGGACGCCATGCTCCGTGGAGCCATGAGAGCCATGAGCCTCAGCTGCCTGCAGTGCCTCATGCTCATGTCCACATGGAAGTCACCAGGACGCTGTCATGGGGCCAGCCTCTCATCATCTGTAGGGTGGGGACAGATCCCAGCACTAGGGGGCTGCGGGGCAGTGCTGGGTGGGGCTGGGTGTGAGTCCTGCCTGCTGCTGCCACCAACAATGACACTCGGTCAGCTTTCTGAAGCCCTCCAGCTCGGTCTCCTCATCTATAAAACGGGGAGGGGGGTACCCACTCCTGGAGTTATTGTGAGGACTAAATGAGGATCTATTAGAATAGTAGGTGGCACATGGCAAAAGTTTGAAAAATATCTGGCACCATCACTTTTACCGTATCCTTGCCTCCTGGGGATGTTTCTCAACTCATCTGGTAAAGGTGCTTCGTGCAAATGACTGGACGTCACTAAATCGATGGCAGTCGAATCCTTCAGGGTTCTTGGTTTCACGCCCTTGGCTCTTACCAATGTGCCTGCTTCGTTGGAAAGGGAAATAGCTGGGTGTCCAGCCTTTGCGATCACCACCTGCCCCAACCATGGGCTGAGGTAAGTGGGTGCCCAGCACCCAGTCTTCCCCTGCCTCGGGTGGAAGTCAGGAGCGGAAGGCTTGCTCACGTGGCTGCTTGGTGATAAAACATAATAGAGCCTGTCAAAATCTTACTGATGGGTATCAGATGTTATCAGCGACACTCAGCGTCACTTACCAACAAAAGCAAGGAAAAAAAGGGCTGTTGTAAGATCTTCACGAGCCATTGTCTTCATCCCTCCCTCTCCTGCAGAAACCAGGAGTTTCTGTCCCCACTCAGCGAGTCCCTCAGACGCTGGGACTCTTTAATCCACTTTTAAAATACGTTTGCCCTTTGGAGATGTTTTTCCTCATCCAGATGTGGCCACATCAGTGCACAGATGCTGTTCCTTAATGAATTAGTCTGTATCTGAAGCTGCACAGG